TGAGTAATCTTCACTTTTAACATTCAGGGACTTGGAGCTATCACAAGAAATACTAGAAGTCTAGTAGATATTTGCATTTCATTTCAATTTCATGATACCAAAACTCCAAAGTAATTATTCAGTACTCTGAATGTAAATCACCCTAAATCTTAAAGGAAAAACAGTCCCATCTGAAATCAGAATGTAATCTTTGGGCAAACTGTTAGGGCTTAGTGATTCCCCTTCCATTTTGAGCTTTTCAAATAGTGACTGTACACAAAAAAAAAAAAAAGTAGTAATCAAGTGTTTTAGAAATATGGTCAGAAGTTCTGACCTAGATCTTGAGACAATACTGGGCATAAAAAAAAAAGTACTACTACAGGTATGTAATGCTAATAATTTGGAAGGGACCATGCCTACATATTTAAGAAACAAAGCAGTTTCTTTTGTTACTACTTAGCAAAGTACGGCTTTGAACAGTCATACATTCTAAATAGGCAAGTGGATTTCTTATCATAAAAAGCTGAACCTCTTCTCTCAATTTTAAGTAGGGTAAATTAGTTGGGGGGAAGTACATAATATTTAAAATAGAAAGCATAAAAAAGAATAGAATACATTATTGTAGAATGTTTCTCTTCTGAGAAGACAAGATACATGATTTTTCAAAAATCACAAATTTGAATCATAAGATATTGACTTCAATTATAGCCTGGAACTGGCAACTGGTGGCCCTCCTTTGCTTCAAAAAAAGTATAAGAAAGAGTGATGAGATCAACATTCACCATTCTTGGATCTTCAGCAAATTCAGGATCAATGTAGAAAAACACTGGCATATCTACTTCCTCTTGTGGATTAAGCCTTTGTTCTTCAAAACAGAAGCACTAGAAGTTATAGAAAGGTATTAGTTTATTAATATTTCTATTCTATTATCTAGAGTAAAAACTAATGGTGCATTTATTGGCTTTAATAAGCATACTGTTAAACATAATCTTTAAATTCTGTGATAGGGTAACAGCATCTTTTCATCTTAGATTGAGTTCTGCTTTAAGGATCGAGAATCAACAAATTCTTCTAATCTTAAAAGCAGATTTCCATTTAGTTTGGCTCTAAACCTCTACAGAGCTGTTATAAGCAATGAAAAAAAAGTAGTTTGAAGTTTAGAAGAAATGAGTTTTCAGAAATCAATACCCACTAAAATACTGCATTAAATTTAGTGCTAAATAGTTTTTTATACTTTTATCATATTCTATAGTTTGCATTTAGTTGTACCTGTATTTTATTGAAATACTGTCCAGCTTCAAATGGTACAACATTGTACGTAGAAATTCCGATTACTGGTTTGTCAGTAGGATTCTTAGCTTTATAAAACGCCAGTGCAGTCTCTCCAGGCACTACCTGTTTTTTTAAAAAAACATATTCATTATCAATACTTTAAGTCTCACACAGCTCCTCCTTTTCCTACTAAATCAGTCACATTATTTTTCCTATCCATCAGACTATAATACCTAATCTAAACTAAGAGCCAGCAAAATAGTGAATACTACCCATGAACACCTGATTTATCAGTGAAGAACCAATGCTCTAATATGCATACTTAGTTATGGAGTCTGTCAACATTTTGAAATTAAATTTAGATGAGTGTTTCCAAAATTGTGAAACAGTTTTAAGTTTCACTGAATTTTTACACTGAAAAAAGTAATCTTTTAATACTTACAGGTATTTCTTTGATCACTTACATATATTTCTGTTTGCTGAGGTCTAAAGTTCCACTGGAGACTTGCGTGCACATCTGCATTAAAGGTGACTTTAATGATGCGATCCTTAACAGGCACCATGTTTTCAATCTGGTCTGATGAATGACCTGCTGCTACTGATCCCCCAAGTCCAGTAGTCTAGAAAAAGAAATGTAATATGTTACGTATTACTTTTAGGTGCTGACGATCTATTGGAAAAAATCATAATTTTAAAAACCACTTAACTTTAATAACACAATAGGAGCCAAGTTTATGTACTATCACTGACCATTTCCTATGAATGTGTCAAATGATATAACCACTTTGGGGGGGGGTCAAAGGCCTAATTTATTTAAGTCGTATTTTCTCAGTAATCACTCGGTTATGTGGCATGGTCAAAAACGAGTCATTTGGAAGACAGAAGACTCTTCACTGATAATACAACTCAGAATATTTAGCTTTTCAATAAGCATACTTTCCTTTATTCCTAGTATTTCATATCAACTATTATTAATAGAAATAAAATTTACCCACAATCCTGTCATTTTAGTAAAACTATTTAAATAATTCAATTTTCCTATCTGGTCCTTTTTCATATTATTAACTTTTACAGCACAGATTCATTTTAGCTTCACTTCTGTAATCTGCTTTTCTCAAGCACCACAAGTATTTTCCCATGTTGGTAAATGTTTTTGTAACTTTTGTAATTTTTGTGTAGTATAGCTTTTACAGATATCAGAGAACTTGATCTCTTTGGCCACTGAATGAACTAATCATAAGACATCGGAATAATCTGTGTATGACACTTCTTCCCTATCTTTCTTGCCATTATTTCCTTTATCATCAAAAATGCTTTAAAAAAAATATTCTTACTTCCAGGCTCATCATTCTTCTGATGCTTGAGGTTGCCAGAATTCTGGTCTCCGGATAATTAATCTGTTACTATACTAGGAAAAAAATACCAAATTTGAGGCTAGGGGAAGACTCCCAGCAAAATATAGTATTACTAACTCCTGCTTGTTACACCAGTCTGCTAGCTTCACTTGACTGCCATGCAAATTACATTATAACCCTAAAAGATGCATCAGAGGGCAAGCCTTTATCTTTGTGTAATATATAAGTATATTCTTCTGCCCAAGAAGGCTATAATGCTTACGTTTTAACACATGACTCCTTTTCCTGAAGAATTCGAAATCACTTGAATATAGATTCCTTCAGGCACTATTTCTGACGGGCAGTCTTCGAATATAGATTCTTTAAATTTATGTCTGATGATTAGAAAAAATAGAAAAGGGCACTGAGAAGAAAATATGCCCTGGTCTCCAGTCTAGTTCTGCCACTAACTGAATCCGAGAACTCAATAAATCTTACTTTCTTTGGGCACATGTTGCAGACTCATAAAATGAGCTCACTGTATTAAGTGGTTTATATAAGCCCTTATTTTTGCCTCTAAAGTTCTGAGTCCAAAAGTGAAAGAGATACTTTGTTGGAAATGTCACTATTTAACATCCAACTGTGATTTAAATTTAAATCACAACTGCTTTTACTTTTCTGCCCTGTGCTTGCACACATGCACACAAAATTATTGCCATTCGTTTCAGTTTGGGCCAGGATTTCTCAACCTTGGCACTAATGACGTTTGGGGTTGGATAATTCTTTTTTTGGTGGTGATGAGGTGGGGTGTGTTTCTGTCCTGTTAGACGTTTAGCAGCATCCCTAAACTCTACCCACCAGATACTAACTAGTAGCACCCTCCTGCCAGGTTGTGGCAACCAAAAATGTCCTCAGACATTGCTAACTATTCCCTAAGGAATAAAATCAACTTGGTCTGTGGTGGTCCATACTTGCTGTTTTGGGATTCAGGCTGGCTCTCGGCTGGCCTCTGCTGGAAACTAATTCACATTCTACACTCATCCTCCACAAATCAAGCGATTGCACTTTCCCACATAAATGCTGATATCAGGAGGGCTGAAAAGTCCCTTTGGCTTCTGTCTCGGTCATCACACAAAATAAAGGTTAAGTTCACCTCTGTAAGCTCAGGGGAAATTAGCCAGGTATGAACAGTGGAAAAGGTTCTGAGCAATCTTTAAAATATTACTAATGCCTGACCCCCACTCCAACACATTCTGATTTAACTGGTTTGGGATGTCACTGATCTGTCAGTTTTTTAAAAAGCTCCCTGGTTACTCCATCGCCCAGCCCAGCCGGAGCAGCAGAAATTACTACTTTTAAGAACTATAGAGACTATATATGAATTAGGTGAAGTTTGCCTTGGCCAGTGGTTCTCAAACATTAGTTTGCATCAAAACCAGCTAGAGGACTTATTCAAATACTGACGCCCAGGCTCCTGACTGAGTAGGTCAGGAGTTGGGCACAAGAATCTGCACTCAAGTTCCAAGGTGATGCTGATCGTGCCGGTCCCGAGGACCACACAGAGAACGACCTAGATGCTGAACACGGAGCCCAGGATTAAGCACGTTAGTTACAAATGAACGGGGATGGGGCCCTCGGAGGCCTAATTCAGGTCTCTTTTGATGGATAAAAAGCTACTCCCGGTGTAAGCACAAGTAACAGGGTGAACCTGCGCTCATCAACCGTGTGGCTCACCGAGTTAATGTGCTAACAGGCACTACATTTTTTAAAGCGGGCACGTGCGCCAGCAGCCGGAGGGTAAAGCAGATGGCTGGATTCCGGAGTGCAGGCTGCGAACTTTTCGGGCGAGCTCAGAGATGAATGAATTTCACTCTGCAGCAAGATCACTGTATTTGCAGCTCCGCCGCGAACTTCCTTGGTGACCTTGGCCCAATCACCGCTTTGGGCCCGTTTCCTCTCTGGGCGATCATCTCGGACGTCCCAACAGGATACCGCCCAGTGGGGTGGGCAGCGGCGGCCCCTACCTGGCAATAGAGTCGATAAAGAGGCACGGCGGCATAGGACGCCCCCAGCATGCCCACGGCGGCCGCGGCCATGTACGTGAGGACCGTCTTGTTTCGCTGCCGCCATTCCTCCTCCTGCGCGCGCGCGTGCGGATTCGTGCTCTTCGGACGCCGGGCCGGCTGCACGGCCAGGTCTCGGGCCAGGTTCGGGCGCCTCCATGTTCCGAGCAGCCTCAGCCCCCTCTCAGCACCTCCCGTCCCACTCCTCTCCGGCCTGAGGCACTGCTCCACCCTCTCCGCGACGCTGGTCGGGGGCCCAAGGGGGCGCCAGCGCCAGCCGCAGAAAGCGACGCGCCGCCATCCCGACCGCCAGAGCCCTCCCATAGCGTCCGGAAAGGACGTCCGCCGGTCACGCACGAGGGAAGATCTCGCGAGGCCTGCTCTGTCTCGCGATACCAGAGTGGAGCCCGCCGCTGCCTTGGCTACCAGGCTGCTGGGGAGGCTACGCCCGCAGTCGCGCTACGGAGGCCGGGTTGCCAGGTTACGGGTAAGTTCGCGTTTTGCTTTAGGACTGTTCCTCCCACTTGGTTTCGCTCCGACTTATCTAACTTTTAGGAAAACGCCTTACGTTCCTCCGCGTGCACCCGTCCTCACTTGGGGTGGTGTCCCCGGCCTTCCTAAACCGCATCAGTCTTTGTCTCGACCGAGTGGCCCCCCACGGCCGCTGTCCCGCGGTCCTTTTACCCGGGGTTCTCTGGCCGCCCGCCTGCTCCTTGCCGCGCGGGCCCCGGCGCTGGGGTCACCTGTGCTGGGACACCTTCCTGGGGTGAACCACAGCCCCTCGAGCAATCACGTCATTTTCTCAGCCCCAGGGAATGGGCGTCCCCTGCCCCGACGCCCCCGAACTACTTGCCCAGCGACATCACCGCTGGTGGAGCCGGAGGGACGCCGTCCATCCGAAGTTGGTGTAGAGTGGCCAGGATGCGAGGGTCATTTAAGGAAGGCCGAGAGGAAACGGGGATGTTCATCTCGGGGAAATAGATGTTCGGGATGCGATAGCTTCTTCCGTTATCCCACCGGACGGAGTAGACAGCAGAGCCGGTGTTGCTGTAACGGAAGGAAGCATCTCTAGAAACTATGTAAAGTCGCGGTGAAGAGCCCAGGTTCAGAGGTTAGGTCCGGATTCATCCCTGGGTCTGCACGTCGGCCTGGTGTCCTGGGGCCAGTTATTGGGCCCCAGACTTCGTGACCTTTTAGGAATCGTAGTAGTGAGATTATGCGTGTAAAATGATTTGCACAGTGCCTGAGACATAGTGAAAAATTAGTAAATGCCAGGCTTCCTTTCTAATGACCAGAGCTGCCTGAGGAATGATTTTCAGTAATTTACTTACTTATTTCACTGTTCCCGTGGGCCAGACCCTGTTCAACCTACGAGGGCTACAATATAGAGAAAGTCAGGATCACTTCTGTTACAGTCTTTTCTTCTGATGACTCAGGAGATGATCAATAACATACATAAATAAGAGAATTTCACATAACAATCTGTACAATGAAGACAACGGAATAAGATAATAATGTAATTTTTATTATTTTTTCTTTCAAAGGTAAACATTTTATTTTTTAGGAACTTCGTGCAACACATTTTCAAAGAGCCACATAAGAAAGCAAAAATGTTACCCTCCCCTCATCCTGGAAATAAATTAGAAGGGCGTACAGTTTCTTGTTAAATCATGACTCTTGGGAGTTTAGCACCAGCATACAAAATAAACAGAAAAGGGGGTGGGGGCATTTACTGTATTTCAGATTTCTTTGGTTGGGGTTCTTCCCAGGTGGTATTAATATTTCTTCTTTTGATTCATATTACCAAAACAGTAAAAACCAGGAAAAATACATATAAACTTAGTGGTTGCTGAGATTGGGGAGGTTGCTCTCTTGTCTTCTGTGCAGGCATTCCTGGAAAAATTTCTGGAAAAATCGGCTGACATTCTCTTTTTATATTTGTTTTGTAAAGAATAATTGTGCCAGGTCAGTGTGCCTCAATGGTTGAGCATCACCCTATGAACCAGGAGGTCGAGGTTCTAGTCAGGGCACATGCCCAGGTTACAGGCTCGATCCCCAGTAGGCAACTGACCTGTGATTCTCTCTCATCATTGATGTTTCTATCTCTTTCTCCCTCTCTCTCCCTCTCTGAAATCAATTTAAAAATTTTTTTTTTAAAAAGCCAATAAAATCCAAGCACCCTTTGACTCTTTTCTACTCTGGCACAAAAATCTCAAGATTATGTGATTCTACAAATTTGTTTTGTTTTATGAGAATGTTTGAAAATCTTTTCATCTGTATCTCCCTTAGTTCTTATACCAGATTGTCAGCTCTTTCGGGACATGATCTGTCATATTTTAAATTTCTTACAGTGTAGACTCAAGCCCCATGCACATGTTAGTGTCACTGAAAGCAAGAATACATCTCCTCCAACATCCTCTAGGCAACCTTTTCATGTAGCAACAGGTAGCAGTACATATAAATGTCAGTCATAGTGTCTTTGTCTTGGGTTCTATTATTTTATTTTGTTTTGTAATTGCAACTGAAACTATTCCTTTCCAAGGTACAATAATCTTGATAGCAGTAAAGTGGTGTTGGCTGCAATTCTTGTGAGTCTGAGTCTGCTTGTGATAATGCATAAATAATTATGATAATGAATGCTACATAATGGATTCTGCCTGGAATGGAATGGGAGCACCTCAGGGCAAGACTAGTACAACCTTGTTCTGCAGGTAGTAGAGGTGTTGATTACAAACGGACTTAAAATATAAGGGGCTGGACTGAGATTTCAGGCTTGGCACCTTTAATTTGTAATGTCATTGCTCAGCCGTAAATGATTAATCCTTGTGAACCCTTTCTAGCTAGTTATCTAGTTAGATATTAGATATGATCATGTCTAATTTTACATAGTAAGTAAAATAGGTTATTTTTATATAAATCATTTTGGGGGTGGGGACTGAGAAATGGTGAAGGTTGAGAAGAAAGAAAAAAGAAATTTTGAGTCACACAATGTTTTCCTATTGTGTGTTATTGCTTTTCAGACTTTCTGAAGACTTACAGATTATAAAGATGTGCTATTTTTAAAATTTGGTTTCTAATTACTTTTTGGCATTTTAATGGCTAATATAAATTCAGGAAATTGCAATTTAAACCTTAGTATGTTAGTCACTGAGCTGTATTTTGTAACTGTCTATCTAATAAAGTTACTGGGTTCATTTGGCAATGTGAAATACCTAACAATTAATTTGGCATTACAAACAACTGTTTATTTGGCAGCTGTGTATTACAAGATTTTTCCTGTACCTAAAGGAGGAAGAGTAATGCATTTGAATAAATAGTAAGAAGTAGTGAATTCCAGTTTGCTTGAGACGAGGCTGAATATTCACTGTTTCCCAATAAATTACAGCACACTCATGCATGAAGCTGCCTTGGTAAGTCTTGATGTCCTGGTTTCTTATTCTTGGCATCTTCCTTTAAGCCACATGTTTCAGGGGCTACTCCATGTAAAAGGCTTCAGGGGCTACGTTTATATGATTGATAGATAAGATGAAATGAAAACAGAAATCATTCACCAGTAACTTTTATCAAGATCAGCCGAAACCGGTTTGGCTCAGTGGATAGAGCGTCGGCCTGCAGACTGAAGGGTCCCAGGTTCGATTCCGGTCAAGGGCATGTACCTGGGTTGCGGGCACATCCCCAGTGGGGGATGTGCAGGAGGCAGCTGATCGATGTTTCTCTCTCATGGATGTTTCTAACTCTCTCTCCCTCTCCCTTCCTCTCTGTAAAAAATCAATAAAATATATTAAAAAAAAAAAAAAGATCAGTGCCAGCTTCAAGGTTGTGTGCCCATGCAGTTGCACAAGGACCTGCTTTTAAAAGGGCCGCTGGCTCAGTTGGGCCTTGGATTTGGTTTAATGCTCTGCTGTCATGATCTTGAAATAATTTTTTTAACAGGGACTTGCATTTTCATTTTGTCCTGGCCCCAGGATACATATTATATTCCAAATGAACCAACTGACTGACGTTCTGACGTCTGCTAAAGCGCAGTCAACCTAAAAGTAAGAGATAAGGAAAAAGGCCAATTCAGGTCTCCTGAGAATAGCCAGGTTGCATGAAATAAGATCAAGCAAAAATCCAAACTCCTTTCCACAACCCATTAGACCCTAGTTCATCTCGACCCTGCCTACTTTTCTAACTTTATCTCTGATCTATCTCTGTCTGCATTCACCAGGCTCCATCCACACTCCTCTTTTTATAAAAATGTATTTTTATTGATTTCAGAGAGGAAGGGAGAGGGAGAGAGAGATGGAAACATCAATGATGTGAGAGAATTATTGATCGGTTGCCTCCTGCACTCCCCACACCCGGAATCAAGTTTGCAACCCAGGCATGTGCCCTGATGGGGAATCGAACCAGGACCTCCTGATTCATAGGTCGATGCTCCACCAGTGAGCCACACCTCCTTCTATGCTGTAAATGTCCCAAATTTATTTTGCTGCCTTGAGGCCTTTTCTCTGCCTGGAGTACTTTGTCCCTCAGTTTTTTCTGGCTGATCTATTATTCGGATCTTGGCTGAGACACCACTACCTGACCTAAATTAGCACTCCTCTTCCAGCCAAATTTGATTATACTATCTTTTGGTATCTGAAAGTTAGTTTATTTTGCTGTTTCCTTCTGTTTTTTAATATTTTTTTAATTGATTTCAGAGAGGGAGAGAGAGATAGAAGCATCAATGATGAGAATCATTGATTGGCTGCCTCCTGCACGCCCCCTACTGGGGATCGAGCCTGCAACCCAGGCATGTGCCCTTGACCAGAATTGAGCCTGGGACCCTTCAGTCCCTAGGCCAACGCTCTATCTTCTCAGCCAAACTGGCTATGGCTGCTGTTTCCTTTTTTTTAATTATTTTTCTCCCATCACTAGAGGGTAGATACTGTAAAAGCAGGGACCTGGTATTGTTCAGCATAATAACACAAGCCCTTAGCATGGTGCCCTGCATGACTGAGCTGAGTAAATGTCTGGTGGATGAGTGCCTGAGTGTGGCAAGCAGAAGGGAGTCAGAGAGTCTACGGAAACTTCCGAGAACAGTGAGCTGTGACTCTGACAAAGATCTCATGTTTCAAGAAATGTAGGACTCCTTTGAAGCCTTTCGGTATTTCCCACAGGATTGGGCTGTGTTACAGGCAGAGCTATGTGTCCACCCCAAGACAGATGAGCAGCATTCCTGACTGGATTCCTGAAAGGGAAAAAATGCACGAGTAGCTGGAAAATTGCCCCTGGGTACACAAGAAAGGAGATAGTAAAAGAACCCTCTGACCTTTTATATCTTTATTTTCTGAAACTTTAATGTCATTTTTTAAAAGATCAATTAAGTAAAGTCTACCCCAGGGAAGGGACTTATTCCTGATTTTTGTCAGTGTCCTTAAACAGCTGTAGGGTTATATAAATAGTTAATGCTCGTTTGAAGAATCTCTGATGTGATAAAGTGTACAAATTACCAGTTTGAGTTCCACTTCCGCTGCCCTTTTTAACTGAAAATCCGATTTTTTAAAAAGTTAACTTGATTAAGGTATCATTGATTTATAACAAACAACACATATTGAGGGTGAAATAATTTGCTAGGTTTTGACATGGGTATTCGTTTGGAAAACCATCACTATTGCCTAATATACCTATGAAGAAACGGGCTCAGAAAAGCCCAGCAGTGCAAATTGGAACCCAGGTGTATCTGAAACCAAGGTCCATATTCTAGGTTCTGCAGCCTGAATTCTAGCTGGGAAAACAACCAGTGACCGATTCTTATTTGGGTGGGGAAAGTATGCAATCTCTGTGACCCTCATTTCTTTAATGAGAGGATTGTGCTGAAGGATCCTAAAATCTTTTATAGCTTCATTTGTATACTCCATTCTGTTTCTTATGAAGAGGTGGTAAATCTCTGTTCAAATATTTTTTAATTTAATGATACCACTGTTCTCTAATTTTTACAGTGGGTCTGTGAGAGAGATCAAACTACTTTTTTCTTTTCACAGGAAAATTTGAAGAAGCTTGTGGAGTAACATGAGTCAGACTAATCTAGGATCTGCAGGAAGTCCCTCATGATAGTTGGTGAGACAACAGGAATTTCTATTTTCTTCAACAGTGTGTTGTATCATTATTTTGCAGACATTCTGACTATAAACTTCCTAGCCTTGTGCTCAGAAAAGACATTTCCCTCCGTCTTTTATTATTATGTGCTTTTTACGCTTACTAATGGTGGAAGCTATCGTAGTTACCTATAGCTTCCCTGTATTCTTCACTTCTGTCAGAAGTGCAGCTTTCATATAGATGTAGATGTTATGATGATATAGGTATACCTCGATACCTTTATCTATGTCTCTATCTACAGTACTATCTTTACATTTCTCAGATACGATGAGCAATGACTAAAATGACATGGCCCAAAATATATAAAATTCATCTAGCATCTATACACAGGCACATATTGTTTATGTGCCAAATGTATGTAATGTTTTTATGCAAAGTTATGGAGCACATTTGACTGTTCTAAGACATGACACTTTGTTTTCTGCTTCCCCAGTCTTAGGAAAAGAAGAATTTATAGATTCTTCATCAGATTCTCATTTGCACGGCTGTTAAATGCAAGGCTACTGTGGTGAAACCATGAATAAAAATTCATCTGCTGCAGTACCATCCGGTCTACTTGAAAAGTAATTGTTAAATTTAGTATGTTTTAAACTATCATAGTTTTAAATCTGTCGAATATTCGTGAGTGTCTGGTGGAAAGTGTTATACAGTTAACAACCTGTGGTCTAGGATAGCAGTAATGAGAAGTTGATCAATAATCACCTTTTAGTGTAAATCAATGTAAAGGGCAAATTCTGTATTCTCTTTTAGAATTATTTTTCGAGATTGCTTTATAAAATTGATCTAATTTTTGAATATCTAAAATATGTTATAATTTCAGTATAAAAATAACATAAGATTAACTTTTGCTGAGTAACAAACCACCTCCAAGTGCATTAAAAATACAAGCTCTTATCCTTTGCCATGAGTTTGTGATTAATTCTTCTGGTCTACACCTAATGATGTCGGGTGGCCTCATTCACATGGTCTGGGGCCTAGCTGGGAAGGCTGGATGACGAATGCCTCTTTCCACCTGATCTCAGCTTCCAGGAGGCTAGTTAGGCTTTTTTTCTTTCTTTTTGTTATTTCAGAGAGGAAGGGAGATAGAAACATCAACGATGAGAGGGAATCATTGATCGGCTGCCTCCTGCACGCCCCCCACTGGGGATTGAGCCCACAACCTGGGTATGTGTCCTTGACCGGAATCGAACCCTGACCTCCTGGTTCATAGGTCGACGCTCAACCACTGAGCCACACCGGCCGGGCAGTTCAGGCTTTTTTATGTGGCAGTGGAATGGTCCCCAGGAGGAAGCACAGGTGTTTGTCAAATGTCTATTTTCCTCACATTTGCTGGAGTACCATTGGTTGAAGCAATTTAAATAGTCAAGTCCAAATTCAAGGTATAGAGAGGTAGACTTTACTTTTTAATGGAAGGAGCGGTAGAGTCACTTTCCAAGAGGCACGCAGACAGGGGAGGGAAGAACTGCCACTCTGCAGCATGTCACACCCACATAACAAGGCCCATTCAGAGAAGGCTTGCTTGCATGCTTGTCCTTCACTCTGTGGCCTCATTTCTCACCTAGATAACCATTTTTATTCTTGTGGTTTTTTTCAGTGCTTCTTTTTACATATACATATAAATATACATATGTATATATGTGTATATATGTCCATGAACCACATAATTATATATATTTTTTCTCAAAGTGATTAATTCTTTACTAGGTTCTGCTATACATTAGACATCTACTGTTGCTTACATGGTAAACAAGTGTGTACCAGCCTTTTGACTCAGGTTCACAGGTCTTCCCTGGAGAAGGGTGTCCGGCTAGTTAAACTCAGGGGGTCTTTCCCTGATGCTTCCTCCTCTGACCACTGGAAAGGTCTAGTCTCCAAGCAGCACCAGCCAGGCCTAGCTGCAGAGTGTGCACAGAGCTCCATGTCTTGGTGCTGAGCAGCTCAGCACAGAACTTTTTCCAACTACTTAGTGCAAATCAAGCCCATAAGAGAAAGTCAGTGCTCTGACCAGAGGGTTCTAAGATGTAACCTGGGGGGATACCTTTCCCAGAACGTTTAGACACGTTCTTTTCTGATGGCATTGCTCTTACATCTGATGGAAATCACAGCTGGACCAGTGCTTTGTACCAGGAAAATACTTCTCCCAATTAAAAGGATAAACTTTTTTTTTTGTAATTCAAATGGAGGTTATATTTCTTTTGCTTTAAATGGCCACTTTTACTTTAAAGTCACTTACCTAACTCATTAAAATATCTAGTATTGGAATTGTTCAATATTAAATAGTCTAAAAATCAATAAAAGCAAATCTTTTCTATCATCTTTAATAAATTTTTAAAATTTATCTCTATTATATTTTTGAACTATTTTTGTTTGTTTTCCAAAGAAATAAGCATTATTGCTGTAATTTTTTTTTATGGTTTGGTTGTTTTGTAGAGAAAATGAAAATTACAGATAAGACAATCCATTTGATTGCTTTTGTTTCACCATACTTTTTAACATGTAGTTGCTAGAATGTACTGAGTACTTTGAGTTATCTAGATCCAAGAATTTGATTCAACAAGTAGTTTAAGGAGAACCTCGTAAGATCTGTTGTAACCTGTGAGTGCTAATTTACTTTATCTTAGGGATCCTGCCTTGCAGATGATTACCGTTACCAAGGAAACAGGCCTCGGTCTGAAGATCCTCGGAGGAATTAACCGGAATGAAGGTCCCTTTGTGTATATTCAGGAAATCATTCCTGGCGGAGACTGTTATAAGGTAAAAATGAAAATTAAAAAAAAAAACCTTCACCAAAAAGAACAAAACCATTAGTAACAAGGTTTGTTTTCTGTCTCATCAGTCTAGTCTTAATATTAGCTGAATGTCCCCTGTGAACAAAGGAACTGGAAGATAGGCCTGTTACCCTCAAGGAGCTTTGCCCTAAGAATGAATATGAAATAAAATGTGAAAATAACAGCCTTCAGGCTATCACTAAAGGTTATAGATTTTTAATTTATGCTATTCAACTCTTATCCTATTTTTGGTTAAGAGAAATTATACTTGAAGACGTGTTGTTATCTCTAGACTGCTCGGAGTTCGGACTAATTTGGATCACTTAAGCTTGAAGTATATTCATTTAGCCTATCCTAAATGTAAAACAAAATAAACACAAACACTCAGCAAATAAAATTCATTCATTTTAAATTTACTATAATTTTTGTTCAGCGTGTTAATTATATCACTAATTACTTGCTCACATGAGAAATTAGATTTAGAATTAAGATGAGAGAATATCCTTTTTTTAGGAATTAGAATGTCTTACTCTTCTCTTTAAAGCAGTGGTTCTCAACCTTCCTAATGCTGCGACCCTTTAATATAGTTCCTCATGTTGTGGTGACCCCCAATTTCATTGTTACAAATTGAACATAATTAACCCTTTTCAGTCCAACGTTGAGGCTGACTCGACAGACCAGGCGCTAGGAGCAGGTCCAATGTCAAGGCTGAAGTCGACATCGCAAACCGGTTCAACATTCAATCCCGTCAATTAATTTGGACCAGACTGTTTGAATTCCAAAAATAAAATTGGATCGCAAAGGGTTAAAGCATAGTGATTAATCACAAAAACAATATGTAATTCTATATGTGTTTTCTGATGGTCTTAGGCGACCCCTGTGAAAGGGTTGTTTGACCCCCAAAGGGGTGGCGACCCACAGGTTGAGAACCGCTGCTTTAAGGAGAGAAATATGTAACTCGTTAGTCCCTTTTTCCTTTGGTTGCTAGAGGCTCACACCCAAGTCTGAAGCACAATACCAGCAACTTAGTTAACAAACTGGTTACTATATTTGCGGTCTCATTTCTTTTGGATTTTATTTGCTATTTTTGTTTTACTGCTGTGCTTATATATGTCTTTTATTAAAAATTGGCCCCAGTGCTTTTTGGAAATAGATAGGATATAAAGAATTTAATAAAACATCCTATTTATATCAAACTGTATATTATGAGAAAGGATTCTCTTATCATTAGGTTTGTTCATATTGTTGTTTCTTATTCTACTTGTTTTGGTTGAACAAATACACCTACTCCTATCCCTGTTCCCACCCCAAACACTTGTTTAGCAAGCAGCTTATCTCTTTTACTGGATTTTTTTTCTTTGTTAGGGAAAAAAGTCAGTTTTACTAATAACTTCAAAAATAATAGAAATGATTTTGTTTCAGACTTGTTGAGATAATAAGGTATCTTCCAAATGCATGAGTTATAAGTATTATACAGTAAGTTTGTGATATTATAATGATATAAATTTTGGGCCATTGAATTTAAATTATTAACCAAATAGGAACATATTTAAATGCTAAATTTAAACAAATTCAAGCAAAAATGAATTTTTCTTTTAAGAACTGAAATGTTTAGTACTACTTTAGTTTTGAAGCTGAGGTGTGTGTGTGTGTGTGTGTGTGTGTATGTGAGTTCAGGATAGCTAAGGTATTTCCTAGATTGAACTTGATATAGTGTAATAACAGATCATTGTACCTAACAAGTGATAAGAATTTGCTTTTAGGACAAGCATCAACTTGTGCTTTTATATTCCATGAAAAATAGTGGTAATTAAAGTAATAAATTGATGTCAGCGGCGTGGAGTGGCTCTTAATCAGCTGTCAGTGATAGCAGACCAAGAAATTATATTCATAATACAAACTTTCCTTAGAATTTCCTTGTTTGAAAGGGAATAAAAGCAAAATCCTGTAATGGACTATATTGCATATTTACCACTAGAGGGCAGCACAGAGCTGTTAATGTTCTTTGTACCTGGTCCTGTCCATGCAGCCAAAATAAAGAAAGGTGTAGACAGAAGAATAAATAAGTTGGCAATGCTTACATTACTTTTTGTGTACTTTCTCATGATGGATAGTTATATGCATATTTACTCTGCAAATACAAAATGGATGCTCTTTTATTTTTAAACATTTTAAATCGATAATAGTAGCATTCACTGTGTTCTAAATACTGTATTAGAATGCTAATAAACACCTAATCCGCACAAAACTTCTGCATGGTAGGTATATTCAGAATAGGGAACACAGGCTATACGGTTATCCTTGTTAAGTTATCAAATTGAACAATTGTTAATATTTTAAATGCATATGAGTACTTTGACTTGCTCTAATTTTAATATATTGCTTCAGAACTAATAAAATAGGCAATCTCAAGCCTATAGATGGACCAGGGCTTTGTTGATAAATAGGACCAAGGCCTCAGGATGGCAAAGGGTAGAAAGCACTCCCAATGGTGGAGCTAAAGGAGTAGCAGCCAGGAGGGCTCACTTTGCAATGCCACATTCTTTCCTCCTTTGCCATGATTTATTTCTGTGAAAGCCACCTTAATTTCTTGGACCTTATTCATTTATTGTGGACTTAGGTACCTGGCACTATGCTGGGGGAGCAACCATGACAAGGGCATAATTCTGGCCAGCCGAGAGAATTGGTGCTGCTGGTTTGGGAAATGCTGAATTAATTTGCTCTCATGGGAGGAAAAGGATATAAGGAGAGTAAAAAACAAGGGCAGCACAAAGTCAGTGCAGTAATACAGGTACATAAAAGAACTTTCGGAGCAAAGAGAAAGGAACAATTAAGTAAATGTAGGGAGTCAGGGAAAACTCACAGCAGAGATGTTTGAGGCTGGCTGTGAAGTTAAGTGAGAGTTCATCAGCTAGAGAAGTGGCAGGGTGGGCGGTGTCATTCGAGACAGAAATTAGTACGTGTAAAAGCATTAGGGGTTGAAGAACATTTTCTGAAAATAGGACGAAGAATTCATATGCCGAGAAGGGAAGTTGGATGAGGAGGCTAGAAATAGTAGGCTGCAGCTAGTTTGTTTTGCTGGGTTCGGGAAGTTAAGGAGTTTCAACTTCTCTACCGGTGGGCAGTCATCACAGGCTCTTAAGTAAGGAATAACAGGATTAAATTTGCTATCAGTGTAAAAATTGCCCATAACAGATTTGGGATTCTGATTCTACTCACCTGTATATAACACCTACATGTGCTTGATTTTATATATATTATTTAATGATGGCATCAACCTGTGTGACAGGTATTTATCCCTACTTTACAGCTAAGAAAGTAGGGTCTCATGGAGGTTAAACCACTGACTCAGATTCACATCGGTAGCTGGGGATAAAAGAAGGGTACCTCCAGTGGACATCTGATGGCGGCATGGGAAAGGACAAAAGCTTGCACAAACATCCCTTAGTAGTGAGGAATAGTGAGCTAGTTACATCGGAGTCAGACGGGTAGATGGTTTCTGATAAGATAACAAGTTATTTAGAAAACGATGTACCAGTCTTCATAATCTGAAATGGACAGTGTTGGTAGTTTCTAATAGAAGCATCTCAGTGGTCAGGGATGGATTATTACTGCATCTTTACAGACGTCAACCTGAAAGAGTTCAGACTCTGAAGTCGGGCACATGCAAGTGCTTGGCACCTTGCCCATCGTGTTGTCTAGTCGCTCAGTAACTGCTGAGTCAGAAGCGAGACAGCGTGGAAGAGGCCTCTGAAGTTAGCATCTTCACACACACAATGCGGCTGGTTCAGAATTCACTGGTTTGGGATGCCAGACATTTACAGAAATAGCTTTGTTTTAGTTTGCAGGTTCTGACTTTTAAGCAGGTTCAGAAATTCACATGATCAGCTAAGATTTTATTCTAGGAAGCAAAGAAAAGAAAAAAACACCACTGCTGTGGATACATTTTAGAAAGAAAAGATGTATAGAAACACCAGAAGCCATAGTCAGAAGGCATTGTTCTCCCCGTCTCCCCTGACTCAGGTCCTGCTTAAGAATGCTGCTTCAGTGGGTCAGTGGACTTTACTATAAGATGCGTTAAGCTGCCTATACAAGGGCTCTTCCCTCTGTGCTGCTGATACTGTACAGCTCGAGAGGAGGCTGTGAGAGGTCGCAGGTCAGCCTGAACCCTGTTGCCTACGTCTGTTTTCTGTAGCCCTTTTCTCTGCAGCCCTGACAACCAGCTTTGATTTCTGTAAGATACATAGATACAGGAGCTGCCTCAGACACCAGAATTCAGTTCTGCGTTCCCTGTGGAGGAGGTCGTGTGCCTCCCCATCTCCTACCTTCTCTCCCCCATCTCTCTCTCTCTCTCTCTCTCTCTCTCTCTCTCTCTCTCTCCCTCCCCCCCCCCCCACCCCCTCTCATTGTTTAAGAACATCTAGCTAGCAAGCCACAGAGCTGAAGTGTGAGTGCAGGTCTATCTGTTTGCCCAGCCTGTGCTCCTTCCACCCCACCCACTGCCTCTGAGAGCTCCTGCCCAAATGAAAGGCCATTGAGTTGCCATCTGCCACAGAGTCATCACTATAGAATTTCCCTTTTTCAAGGAAGTTAAATAGAAGGAACTGAATACCAAGAATGCTTATGTCAACACAAAGTAACCTAATATTGACTACCGCCCCGTTTCTAAAAGAACCTTTCTTTCCTTGTCAGTGACCTTTACATGATTTGCTCCAATGAAGCAGGGTTTTCTTCATTTCCTCCTTTCCCCCCCTAAATTGTTGCCAGGCTTTGGCACAAAAGTCAATAGTAATGTAGTCTCTACATGTCAGTTACAACCTATGTTATTAAACTGATACTAATGAGGAATTATTTTTGCAGATTCCAAATGGTCTATAGTTGGATTTAACAATAATGTTTATTTCATTTTATTAGTTAATTGATTTATTTTAAAATAAGATTTAAAATTGTCTATTGGACCCTTACTTTGAATACCAGATTTGGAGTATAGAACCCAAATATAATTTAAGTAGTTAGGCATATTGTCGGGCAAATGACATGAGCTTTCTTTTTATTTGGGGGGGTGGATCACTTCGTTTCTTGTTTAGAGTGCAATATTTGACGCATACAGAAGGATATTGGGAAATATATGAAACTGACGAAGCATAATGATAAATGAACATCTACGAATCCACTTAGAGTTCAGCACTTGACTTAATGAGAAAGTTTAAGTACCATTGAGACTTCCTGTGTGCTTTCCCCATCACATTCTCCACCCGCCCTCCCCGAAATAAGCACTCTGGAGTTTTGTTTATTCTTCCCTAACGTTTATTGGCCTTATTATTTTACAGCCTGTGGCCAAATGGTTGTTTTTCTTGTTTGTTACCATTTCACCTTAACCTTGAGTGAATGCATGATTGTCCTCAAACTAAAGTTAAGCATATTAAGTTGCACACTAATGCACATGAGTGTCTAAATATAGTCTGGATATGCTTGATTTAAATGCATATGCAACCAAATTCTGTAATACGATTTGAGCCCAGGCAATACGGAACTGTGTTTACTAACCTTACAAAATCAGCTCTTTCATTTCACTGAACATGTAGAATCCCTGTGGTGAATACTTTCTCCATATAGCTTAGTCTTTTCCAGTGTTACTATTGTGTTTTGCTCCCCATACATTAATCAAATGGAAGGAGAAAAAAAATCACTTATGGATATAGCAGTTGTGTGTTATGATCTCTGATTTTGCTCTTTAAGACATTCTTCACTAAAACTTTTCTTGCTTTAATTGCATCAATTTTTTTAAAACCATCCTTATTCATTTCTTTAAAAATGTTACTATTTTTGTTAGGATGGACATTTGAAGCCAGGAGATCAACTTGTCTCAATAAACAAGGAATCTATGATTGGTGTATCATTTGAAGAAGCAAAAAGCATAATTACCCGAGCCAAGTTGAGGTAACTATTCTATTCACAGGATAAAAGGAATCATTTAGCATGGCTCCTTAAAATAGTAATTTTTAAGATGTCATAAGTACTTGAGACCCTAAAAGAAATATTTTGAAGTAATATGTGAAATACTATTTTAGAATTAAATTGTACTATATCCATAATACATTCATAAAGTGTTTTCTTTTTAATGCTAGGTCAGAACCTGCTTGGGAGATAGCATTCATAAGACAAAAATCGGATGGCAGTCACCCAGAAAACCCACTGTGTACACCCCTTTTACAGACCTCTGGAGAATATGGACCTCAAGCTTCAGCATTTAATCTTCTTTCTTCTCCCCCTGAAATACCGATTCCAAAGACCTCATCTACCCCCAAAACTACAGATGCTATTTTACCTTCTTTGAAGGGAAATCAGGTACTCTTCCATTCCTGCTTTCTTATGCAGTCCATAAATCCCCCATATGTTTTTATATTTCCCATATACATCGAGAATTATCATCTTGGTAATACAGTGTCTTAGCAAACTGGTATTTCCTTGAAAGATTTTTATGCTGTGCTGTCAATAAATACAATTTACTCAAGTCAATGTGTCTTTTGCCCAGAAAACTATGATCAGGAATGGCATCACAAAGATACATGTAGATATCACTTGGAACTATGTTAGGAATATCACATGTTTTCAGACAGTCATTAGTATGGTTCAGTACATTATTATTTCTGTTTCCTGCTTGACTAAAGGCAGGCAGTATTCCTTCATGTTCCTTAGCTTCTTTCCCACACAGAGAGTAATCTCTACCACGCAGTGTGGGTGGGTATGTTCCTCACGTGTGTATACTAGGATATCATTCACCCACGCAGACACACAAAGGGGGGGTTTCTGCATCAAAATCAATACAATTAATAACTAGTTGCTGCAGTAACCTAATAAATCAAAGTTATAAAGTAAAAAGTATGTAGTCTTTAAGTGTGTGCTAGCTATAAAGTAAAATAGGAAACTCAGGTCGGCTTTCAGTCAGTGAAATACAGTTTGTCAGAGGTAACTTCAGTTACTGGTATATGCTAATCAGATACAGGGTATAAGATTTTCTGTCAGCCCCTTATACTTTTTCATTTGGGGTGATAACCTTTTCATGGCCTATTTTGTTGTCCTCATTTGGGGTGATAACCTTTTCAACGACAAGGTACATGGCCTATTTTGTTGTCCTTGGATAGTAGAGCTGAAAGCTGTTTTTACGTTTAATCTGAATTTCTTTGTTTGAAGATGGATATACCAAATTTTTAGAGGTTTTATATTTTTTTGAACTAATGCTTTAGTCACTTTAGCCATTCTTTTTATGTTAACACTAGAGGCCCAGTGCACGAAATTCGTGCACTAGTAGGGTCCCTAGAGGGTGCTGGCCGCCCTCCCTTCCCCCAGCCGGCCCCACCCCCTGGTCGAACTCCCAGAAGAACTCCCAGTTGAGGGGACAATTTGCATACTACGCTTTTATTATATAGAATGAGCTTCTAGTCTAGTCTTTGACCTTCTTTAGAAAATGAGATTTCATGTTTCTCACTGTCTTTCATAGTTAAAAACTGGATACAAGAAAACAGAACAGACTTCAATTGCTTCTTTGGACCACAGCCCTACAGATATGTCTAATACAGGTAAGTGCACACTTAATTCCTCTTTCCTGTTATTTTTTGCAATGACTCTCTCTCTCTCAATGAGGAGTACGTAATGTGACTTAATAGACTTTAAGGAAGGATGCATTAAGTCTTCTTTCCCACAGTGAATAAAAGAGCAAAATGCATGCATTGTGCCATGGTCCCTGTCAGATTATGACTTTTACTGGAAATTTTCCTGAACAACGGTTAACATTTTCAAAGATGCATTAGAATAACAGTGTCTATGAAGCTGCAGCAATCAACCCACTGTTGAAACCAAGTAATGAAAACTCTTTCTAAATCAAGATTAGGTTGCCTTGCCCTTTTAGCGAAATGCTGGTGAGGTATATTAAATGCCCCTTTCAGAGAAATCATAGAAGGAAGCATTTTAAGAAAATAAATATTTTGGGGTGTGTTTTTAAGAGATTATATAGATACAAATTAGAAAGAATATTAATATTGTAAATCCTGTGTTATTGGTTTTTAATTATCATGGAATGATTTACTGACTGTTTAAAATAATAAAAGATTGTGTAAGCCACCCATAAGAGAAGGATTTTTATCAAGCTGTAAAGTGTATATTGTCTCAAATATGAAGAAAAATTCCTCCCCTTAAATTATTTCCAAAAGTTAAGCACAAGTCAAAAGTCTATACAGGATGGGGCAAAAGTAGGTTATAGTAGTTCATATAGAAAACAATATAGTCCTATATAATAAAAGCCTAATATGCAAATCTACCGAATGGCAGAACCACTGGTGGGACAACAGGTCACTATGATGCGTACTGACCAACAGAGGGCAGACGCTCAATGCAGGAGCTGTCCCCAGCCCGCAGGCCCCAGGCCAACCAAGGTGGGTGCCAGCGGGGGGCCTCCCGATCGCCCTGCCGGTTGCCCCGCAGAGGGAAGTGACTGGCAGCAGCGGCAGGGTAATGGGGGGCAGGCAAGTGGCATCAAGCCAGCCAAGGCAGGTCCCCCCAATCACCCTCTGGTCACCCCTCAGATTGGCCCTGATTGCCAGCCAGGCCTAGGGACCCTACCCATGCACGAATTTCGTGCATCGGGTCTCTAGTCATTAATAAATAATAATACAAGAATAAACTGTTTCGCATGCTCATAGCTGTAAGCCTACTTTTGCCCCACCCTGTACTTATAGAAAAGTTCATTATATATGTCTAAATTATAATGCAAATTATTACCCATTTGTTTCAGTTTTTGATAGCATTATTTAGATCAGAATTACAAAATAAGGAATAGTTAGTATAAATTACATAGTGTCTTAGTCCGTTTGGGTTACTCTAACAAAACACCACAGACTGGGTAGCTTATAAACAACACATATGTATTTCTCAGTTCTGAAGCCTGGAAGTTCAGGATCATGGGGCCAGCATGGTCCCGGTGAGAACTTTTTTCCAGTTGCAGGCTTTTCATCATCATGTCATCACGTGGTGGAAAGGGCTAGGGCAGTGGTCGGCAAACTCATTAGTCAACAGAGCCAAATATCAACAGTACAACGATTGAAATTTCTTTTGAGAGCCAAATTTTTTAAACTTAAACTATATAGGTAGGTACATTGTTATTAACTTAATTAGGATACTCCTAAGGCTTAGGAAGAGCCACACTCAAGGGGCCAAAGAGCCGCATGTGGCTCGCGAGCCTCAGTTTGCCGACCACTGGTAGGGAACACTGTAGGATCCCTTTATAAGAGCACTAACCCCACTCATGAGGGCTCTATCCTCATGACCTAAGCACCTCCCAAAGGCCCCACCTCCTAGTACCATCCTCTTTGGGGTTAGGATTTCAGTATGAATTCTGCAAGGGCACAAACAGTCAGACCATTGCATGTAGCTACCGTACTTAACAGGAATTCAGAGTAGATTCCATAGTAGTTTCCTCTGGTTTGGAGCTGTATTGACCCGGACGGTGATAACAATCTTTAGCCATAAATAATGTGCCTTTTTACTTAATGGAATTTGTTGACTATTAGAAATTTTATTAGTGCATTCCCATCATATAATTATTTCCATGCTCTTGATATATTATTTTCTATTTTAAACTCTAACTTCACGTGAGCAAAAAAGATAAAAGAAGCTAACAATGGTCAGGAGACATTTGTGTAACATGCTTTTAAGGTTGAAAGTAATTGAACTACTCAACACCTCTCTTAGTCTTTTACTTATTCAGTAAGCACTTACTGAGTATGTCATATGTATGGAAACATACTCCAGTAGAAATTATGAAAGAATTAGGATACTTTCAGTGAGATATTTAATTATATATTGTGAATAAAACATGGGGTTAAAAAAAAAACCTTCATTATTCAGATTAGAAAAAGAAATGTGTGTGAGTGTGTTTATGTGTGTGTGTGTGTTTATGTTATCGAATAACTACTGTGTGAGTATTCTGTGTGAACTAGAGCAGGGTGTGGATGGACTTAGTACTCTAAGGAGCATCTACACTCTTGTGGATGAATTACACGTTTGAACAAATGGTATGAAGCCATGAGCATAGTAGACTAAGGAGGGAAAGTAATAAGTGGTGTAGGGAAGGCTCTGAATGGAAACTTACGTTGCCGACCTTAGGTTCTTGAGTCTCAATGTCATAGAAAGGAGCACTGACCTCAGTACAAGATGAAGCAGACAGACTTTATTGAAAAGAGCTTGTGCACTAGGAAGTGGACCAGAAGAGAGAGTGACTCCGAGGGGTTCTTGTGGATGGCTTATACAGGCGCCAGGGGTGGGTGTAGGGCCTGGAATGAGGAGGAGGGCGCTGTCCTATGATCATATTCTGGTGGCGGTTGATCCAGGGGTAGTCACAAGATGTTTTCCACGGTCAGTGGACCACTCAAAGGGCCTGTAAAATAAGGCTTGGCAAATGTTCTAGTTATTTTAAAGATTAATGAGTTTATATATGTAAAGTACTTCGTGCACTGTCTGACTAAAAGTAAGCATACATAAGAGCTAACGTGTTTTATTTCCACTGTTACACAGCATTTTTTAAAATATATTTTTTATTGATTTCAGAAAGGAAGGAAGAGGGAGAGAGAGATAGAAGCATCAATGATGAGAGAGAATCATTAATCAGCTGCCTCCTGCATGCCCACAACTGGGGATGGAGCTGCAACCCGGGTATGTGCCCTTGACTGGAATAAAACCTGGACCCTTCAGTCCGCAGGCCGACACTCTGTCCACTGAGCCAAATCGGCTAGGGCAGTGGTTGGCAAACCGCGGCTTGCGAGCTACATGCGGCTCTTTGGCCCCTTGAGTGTGGCTCTTCCACAAAATACCACGTGCGGGCGTGCACGTACAGTGCGATTGAAACTTCGTGGCCCATGCGCAGAAGTCGGTTTTCGGCCTGGGCGAGTCTATTTTGAAGAAGTGGAGTTAGAAGAAGTGGGGGGTGTCAGTTGGTCAGGCGACCGGAGACTCAGCGCAGGTGGCTGCGGGATATGCAGCGCTGGGGAGGCGCGCGTTATTCATGCACGAGTTGAGGATGGGAGAGTTGGAAGGGGTCGACCTCAGCAAACGTACCTCAATCAGATTGAGGACGTTTTTAGCAAAGGCCAGCTTAGGAGTACCCTAATTAAGTTAATAACAATGTACCTACCTATATAGTTTAAGTTTAAAACATTTGGCTCTCAAAAGAAATTTCAATCGTTGTACTGTTGATATTTGGCTGTTGACTAATGAGTTTGCCTACCACTGGACTAGGGCAACACAGGAAATTTTTCATCTTAGATATAGGAAAACATAAATGAGAGTGCGTGCCTTAATGTGTATGGATGGTGTGTGTCCCTGTGCCTCCCTCTCTCTTCCTGATCCCTCTCTCTCAACGCCTCTCCAAGTGTGCACTTAAACTTGAACTGAGTAGTGCACGCCCAGGGTTGGTCTTGGTCTGAGACCATAATTAGGTGAGCTTGGGTCCACCTAGTGTCAGTGTGCCTTAACTGTAGGTAGGTCAGGCACCAAGCTGAACGGCATTGTCAAGCCTCACAAGTCCAAACCTTAAAAATGAGCCCACATGTAAGATAAAGTCTACATAGGAAACTATATTGTTTGTAAATTTGTGCTGATTAAATTAGGCGGGTAGTCATAAAAAAAAATAATGTTGGACTTATCTGCTATGTGGTCTTTCATGCCCTGCCACTCGGTGCTCCTCTTTTAGGCCACACTTTGGGTTTGGCAGAGAATTTCTCTTAAGGGTATTGAATTGAACTGAACTGAATCGAACAAGGGTCTGCCTGTCCAATGCACAGGAAAGCCAAACACTGAACATTGAGGAGAAATTAAAGCCATTTTATTGGTAGGGCACCAAGCAAGGAGAATGGGGAGCTGATTCTCCAGTTACATTAAGAGAAAAAAAATACACATATGGTATTTTTTTTTATCCCGTGGCCAACAATTAGGTAGCACATCAACAAAGGACACTTCGTTGCTTTTATCAAAATTGCAAAAATTCTTTTCTATTAAAATCAGTCTTTCTCAGCATTTGATTCCACTTGAAATTAAAAGTCAGTAGCCATTTTTTATCTTGACACATATAAGCTATATTCAAGATTTTACATAGAATGTTAACGATGTGTTAAAGGTTTAGAGGAAGACTATTTATTTTCATACGCGCTTCTTATGTTCTAAAGAGAATGCAAATCATTTTGTACTTAGAGACAGATGCTCCGAGAAATAAAAAAAAAAATTAAAACACTGCATAAAGATGTGACATTTTAAAAAGTTTTTTTCTCTTCCTCGTTTCTATGTAGAACTAGTAAAATACCATTTAAAAGTGTATTTAGAATAGTGACAATTTAGATACAAGGATTGACGTGAATTATAGCAATTTGTTTTACAAACTCTGACATATTAAAACGAATAATGTTTTCCAGTTCCTAGTCCTGGATGGCACCTGGTACCTTATCCATGTAACCAGGTCAAAGGCTTGTCTAAATAATCAGCGTCCATTGAAAAGATGCCAAAGAATAATGGTATATAAACTCCAACTCTTGAAAGTCCATTTATACATCTTGAAATATAACCTTCTGTAAAATAAGAAATGGGATTTTGAGTTCAAGAAGTTATAAGTCCATTATAGTTAATGTGTAAATTTGAAACCATCTGCATTTTTTAGTTTTTCTGTAGTACTTCCAGAACTCACATAACAAAACCACTTTTGCCAGCCAAAGAAATATCATGATCTATTTGAGTTTCTCATATGATTTTACTTATTTGGGAAGAAAAAAAAGGCCTTTTCATTTTACAATTAGGAAAGTGCTGTGATGACAGGGTCGTGGTAGTAGGATGTGTGTTTGTCTTTTAAATTAGTATTTCCATGGGACTTAATGCTGATTGGTCATTCTTTTAATATCACATATTTTAGGGCTCAAGTGAAGCTGGTTTGTATGATACGTTTTAGACTTAACGAAAAAAACCATGAAAACAAAAGTGAAAACTGCCAGCTGATTAACCAGAATTTTTTTTAACAGCAGGAGCTCAGAACTCATCCTGTCACATGAACATTTCTATTCCAATTAAATTTCCAATTAGTGTGCACCCTGTTGTCTCTCAGATGCTGCCCCTGTCTGGACCGATAATTATGGACCACAAGGAAAGACGGTCTCCCTAAATCCCTCCGTTCGCCTTAAGGCAGAGAAACTGGAAATGGTAAATACTTTAAATGTCCATTTTTCTTCCATAAAACAACAGCAAGGAAGGCCTCTCATCTTGGAGAGGGTAAAGGCCTGGAGCCATTACTTTCTTGAGGTGTTATTTATATGCAATGAAATGAATGGCAGTTTGGATTTAAATGAACTTATTCGTGTTTGAGTTGGGCAGTTCATGTTGTTCACTAGTACAAAATAAAAATTAAACCTTTTGTCATTAAATCGACATCCACATTCATCTATTTCCTCCTGTGTATAAGACAAATGTGATGTCTTACCACGTAGAACCCAAGGACACATGGACTAAATTATGACAAAGTATAGTAGACTTCATATGTCGGAGCAATAAGTGCAAGTAATACTCCCATTTGTTCAATTTTTAAAAAAATAAAGGGAAACTAAATCCTAAAGAACCTTAATAGTCAGGTATTACTGACTATTAGGAAGATGGTAGCAATATACAAAAGGCACACAAAAAAACCCTGGGGAGAGTTAAACATCGAGAGATTCTGTATGTAAAAGAAACTTAAGATTAAAAAGAAAAGGTAAAAATGCATTTAAAACTGGTTTTTGTCCGGTTACTTGGGAGCTAACAGCAAAAATGTGCTATGTCTTATTTTTTTAATATAAAAATTGATACAGTGTTAGAGGCCCACAGCCTCTACTTTCCTATCATAATTTGTGGATAATAATATTTTACATTTTAGGAAGAGTATGAAAATGCACATCTGGAATAAACATACATTGCCCTTATTCCCATGTTCATACCTTTGCATGGTCCTATAGCAGCACCGTTTTCATTGCCAATTTGAATCTTCTCCGTTATTCAAATTCTGACTCAACTCCAACTCCCTGTCTAGACTTTGCTAACTATTGTGGTTAGAGCCAATATCGCCTTATTTTGCATATCTGTAAATCACTTTGTAGTTTCCTATAATCTTTTCTGTATCTTGCTTTATCAACGAGCTAAAGCTTCGTCACAACAGTGTACCATGTACCTACCCCTGTTTAAACACCTGGTTTGTGCTCAATGAAACTTTCCGATCCATTAGATACTTGTGATATCTTTTTGATATTTTAAAACTCCTGAGTATCTTTTGCTAACTTGTGCTCTCTTTTTATTTTTGGTTAAGATGTAAGTTCTGGCTTATGGCAAAGTTTACAACCAGTTAATATTAACATTTTCAAAAAATAAAATGTTTGAAGTTTGAAAACATTAATAACTAAAAATGGATAATTACTGGCTTTTAATGATGTTGGTTTAACATACATTTCTGAACATTCAAGATTTAATGCTAACCATTCGTCTGGATAAGGAGAAAATTATCCAGCTAAACACTATCTGGCAGCCTTTATTCTTTTACTTGGTTTAAATTTTTTAGTGTATGATATATTTTTTAATCTATAATTTTCTTAGAGATATGATTCTTAGAATATGAGTTACTTGACTACTGAATCAGAATTCCAGTTTTGACTTTCCTTTTAGCCTAAGCAAATTATTTTTTTAGAAAAATAAAACAGTAGTTTTATAGCAAAAGGAGCCCACATTCTTTGTAAATTCAGCTTCCCAGCTTTGATTCAAGGTATTTTTAGTGACTATTCTGGAGAGCATTCCTTGTTTTCAGAGTTTGAAACTGTATTTTACTTAATAATTTTTCCCCCCTAAAATCCAAATTAGCATCTATTCACCCAATTATTTCCTAAGCTACTCTTCCTTTTTTGTAGTTAGCTATTACTATCATAATATCTGTACCACTTTCATTTAAAATAGGTCCTTCTATTTTAGTTGCTACTTTGTAGACAAATTCAACTTTATCCTCCATTACATTTTTAACATATTTTCTATTCAGTGATAGATAAGGAAAATGTGATCAAGTATTTAAAATGTATTAAAATTATATCTTTATTTCTTCAACTTCTATAAATATAGTGCATATGGTATCTAGAAAATGTGTGCTGTGGTAAGATTTCACAAGGAAAAGGTGTTGACTGATTATGTGGTTATTAACTAATTACCCTACTTAGTGCAATTTTTAAGAAAGGCAGAGAGGTTAGAATTTGATGAAGAGCAGTACCTGTGAAGACATATGTATGAATGGCAGTGTTCTCAGGAAATCCTCTTTGTTTTTCTTGTCTAAGTAGATGATTTTAAATCAGAATCTCCTGGAAAGTGATTTCTAACATTGAATTCATTTTATTTTCATTCACTGTCTGAGAAAAAATGATTGCCTCTTTTCATGAATATTCTAATAATGATTTTTTATATACAGATATTTTTATATAATTTCACCAGACTTATTTAGTGATATATTTTTTCAAAGTATTTTTATAAGTACTATGTGTCTCATCTGATCCTAATGTTGAACTTATAAGCAGGTATGGTAAACATAGCAAATAGAAATACAGTTTATTAGTTGGCTTGAAGACACCTGTATGCTATCTATATTTTTGTACCTGGGAAAGATGCTTTTGGATACAGGTGCCATTTCGCTGGTATTTACTTTACCTCTTGCCATTTCTGTAACATTTGAAGAAAGCTGCAGTGAGCAATGCGTACCCGATGTCTGATGATAGTTAATGAGATGTTCTTTGTTATTAGGCTGGGAAGTATGTGACTAGTATTGTACAGAAGTGACATTTTTTAAAATTCATCATCCAGACACCAGAAAATGTTAAGGACAGATATTGTCCAATTAATACATTTTTAAGGCTAAAAGATGACATTCAATAAATTATTAGAACCTACTTTATGATTAAACATAAATTACTTGCAATTTAAATTCATGAGCTTGCCTCACTGACATGCTATATTCATCTAGAATAAATTCACATTCAACAAAACTTTCACTTATGACTAAGTTTAACTCTAGATCAATTTAGACTGTGGTTAACTGCATTTTGCAACTTTATTATTACTTGATATAATAAGAATCACCTATATTGAGTACCTTCTGTGATAGGTGTCTTAATTGCATTATTTTTATAAAATTGTTTTTATATCTTCATAATATCAATTATACACACAATGATTATATTATAACGTTCAGTTTAAAGAATAATCAACACATGTACTCACCACCCAGCTAAGAACGAGAACTTTTGAAATTGCCTGTGTTTCTTCTTGATACATGCTACGACATAGATAAATCTTGAAACAAGCTAAGTGAAAGAAGCCAGACACAAAAAGCCACAAATTATATGATTCTGTTTGTATGAAATGCCCAGAATAGGCAAATCCATACATACAGAAAATAGATTAGTGGTTGCCTGGGGCTGGGGGGGCGGGGGTAGGGAACTAGGAAGTGCCTGCTAATGGGGATGGGACTTCTCTGGGAGGTGATGAAAATTTTCTAGAATTAGTGGGGATTGATGCACAACTTTGTGAATATACTTAAAGCCTCTTAACTGTATACTAAAATGGTGAATTTTATGAGATGTGAATTAAATATCAATAAATCTACTATTTATAAAACAAAAAGTCACATCCTTAAAAATATTTCTAAAACTATTCACATTGTGTACTTAAAAAAATATAAAGTAATGGTGTGAAAACATGTCTGAGATTGTCCATAGAAACTCCATAAGATGAGAATATTAAAAAGTGAAAAGTTATGCCCAAAACTGGGAGAAAATATGTATAATACCCATAACGTATGAAATGATAAATTACAAAGAATTGTACAAGTCAATCAGAAGACGCATCAACACTACTCCTAGGTATTTACCCTAAAGGAATTTTTACCCATGTGCTGTGGTAGCTTTGTACAAGAATGTTCACTGCTGCATTACTGGTAAGCAGAAAACCCTACTGCCCATCTTCAGGAGGATGGGCGAATAAATTGTGGCATATTAATATAATTATTACATTTGTCAGTAAACGTGGATGCATTAATGTCACAGTAGCATATAACCACATGGATGAATAATAAAACGATACTGCAGGATGAAAAATTCAAGTTTCAGAAGGCGATCTGCAGCTTTTTTATGAAGCTTAAAAACAGCAAAACAAAATAACGTTAGGGATATGTATATGTGACAAACCATTTTAAAATAAATAGTATGGAAATTTTAGTATTGGCAGTTTTGTAATTCTAAGATGGATTCATGGATGTTTTATTTTATTGTCCTGATTTAAAATGTATGTTACATACAATACATGCTTTTAGTATACATCAAATGTTATATAATAAAATGTTTGGGAATATTAAACCAAATGTATGACAGCTGTTACCTACAGGGAGAAGTTCAGAAGGGCTTTTGCAATCTTTTGTTAAATTCATAATCTGATATAAATATACCTCAATGCTAAGCTTTAATATACTATTATAGCAGTTTTAAAAAGCATGCAAAAGGTCTAAAATCTACAAAATAGAAAGCTGTGATATGTTGATAGTTTTAAAAAACCAGAACACTCTATATAGCGTAATTTAATGATTTCAAAATACATAATTTACATATATATTTATATAGAGATGCTATGTCCATAGCAAAAATTCAGAAAACTTATACATCAAACTGTTAATAGTGTTGGTCCCTGAAGCCGTGTTTTTCAAGGACAAGGATGTGGAAATTTGCCTTGGGGGACATTTGGCAATGTCTGGAGATATTTTTGGTTTTCATAAAAATTAGGAATCACTAACAAATTTACATCTTAAGACTCTGTATATGAAAATTTAAAACCTATTGCTAAGTAATTTGTGAGTTAAAAATATTGCTAATCAACATGGGAAAGATTAATATCACTTGTAATTAGGGGAATTCAAATTAATACACAATGTACTATTTCATATACAACACATTGACAAAAATTGAAGTGTGAAAGCATAAAATGCTGCTAAGAATGTAGAAAATAGGAGTGCTTATGTCCTAGTTGTGTGCATAAATTGCTTGGTACAACCAATACGGAGAGTTATTTTACAATATCTATTAAAGTTGACTTTATAAACCCTATGACTCCACATTTCCTCTTCTAGGGATATACTGTAGAGAAATTTTCACACAACTATACAAGGATATATATATAATTTCTTATAATAAAAACCAAATTAGATATATATATATATCTATATATATATATATATATATATAGATATATATATATATAATTTCTTGTAATAAAAACCAAATTGGAGTAACTATAAAAGCCCACCAACCAGATGGTGTGGCTTAGCAGTTGAGCATGGACTTATGAACCAGGAGGTTACAGTTCGATTGCAGGTCAGGGCACATGCCTGGGTTGCGGGCTCGATCGCCAGTAGGCAGCTGATCAGTGATTCTCATCGATGTTTCTCCTCTCCCTTTCTCCCTGAAATCAATAAAAAAAAATTTTTTTTCAAAAAGCCCATCAATCAAGGAATGGGTGATAAATTACAACATTCATACAGTTGGATACCATTTCAAGTTAAAATAATTGAACTAGTTTTGCAAACAATATTGAGCAATTATGAAATCATAACATTGAGGTAAAATAAAAATGTTGGTAAGATTATTCTTTTGTACTGTACTATTCATGAACAGTTTCAATTGTGTAAGAGTACATATTATTAGGGGATGCATGAATTAATGGCATCAAATCATGGACAGGAAGGATACACCAACCTTAGTTGTATCCTGTTGAAGAACAATGGAGAAAGCTTTCAACTAAGTCATCAATGTTTATTTCTTAAAAACATGTATGTCATAGAAATGTACACTTGAAACCTATATGACCCTATTAACCAAGGTCACTCCAATAAATTTATTTAAAATATATATATATAAATTTCAAACAAATATTAATGAGTACTTAGTGCTAGCAAATACATAGGTGTTCTTTGTGTTATTCTCTTTCCTTTGTTTTTATTTGGAAAATTTGGAATATTTTTATGACTGGAGGCAAAGAACACCAGAAATTAAGAATCATTATTCCATGTTATTCAAGGCAAATATTTATAAGTTGTAGACAGGGTAGTCAGATAATGCTAGACTAAGCCCTAGAATCACTTTTAAAGGAATCTTTCCAGATGTTCTCTTTCCTCCTGCCTCCTTCCTTCACTGTGCCCAGCCACCTGTGCATTTACGCAGTTTGTTGTGGCCATAGTAGATCCTGTACACACTTCTATTAAATTAGATAGTGCACTAATTACAGTTATTTACATGTTATCCTCACTCTGAAGATCATACTAGCAGCTCTGTCTTGTTTAGGTGTCCCTTTGCCTGACAAATAGTAAGCACTAAGTAAATATTTGGTAAATGAAATGATGAATGAATGAACAGATTCCAAAGGAGGAAGAAATTTATAAAGGACTATTGCCAATATTAAACTTTTCCTATATTTTAGTCTTGATATGATTGACACAGAATATGTTCTTGCCAGAATTCAACAATAGGGCAACAATAGGGGCCCTATGCATTAGTTAAGGTTAGAATTTGCTATAAATAACTGGAGAACCTAAAATAACAGTGGTCTCCATTAGAAATTTACTTCTCTCGCACCTAAAAGAAACCTGAAAGAAGATAATCCAGGGCTGGCCTGGAGGTTCCACAGTGTTGGGGTCCCATGTCCCAACTATCATCTTTCTGCTCCCCCATCTTTATTGAGGTTGCTCATAAACCACAATGACCATTTGAATTTCAGCAACCAACCAACCTCTTTCCCTCCTTCCATTCATCTTCCTTTTTGTTTTCTTTTATTTAAGGCCAAAGAGAGGAGGAAAGGGGACAGGAAGTGCCTACCGCTACCTTTGAAAGACTCCCCAGAAAGTCCTTAGAGCACTTCTCCTTGTATCTCCTTGGCCTGCACATAGTCACATGGCCTCATCAAGCTGAAAAACAGGGATATCTTTTAGCTGGATGACAATATTTCTAGCTAAATATTGTCGTTCTGTTACTAAGGAACAAGGAGAGAATAGACATTGGAGTACAACTAACAGTTTCTGAATTTTTAATCAGCTATGGTTGCTAAAAGGAGAAGGTAGAGAAAAGCTTTTCAGAGAAAGCTTTTTAGTTTACTACTTATGTAAGTCTGCTCATAAACAAGCCAAAAATTAGAATATTTTGTATGTAAATCAGTTTTCATCAACTTCTTTAAAATGTATTTTTATTGATTTCAGAGAGGAAGGGAGAGGGAGAGAGAGATAAAAACATCAATGATGAGAGAGAATCCTCCTACATGCTCCACACTGGGATCGAGCCCGCAACCCCGGCCTGTGGCATGTGCCCTAACCGAGAATTGAACCATGACCTCCTGTACCATAGGTCAATGCTCAATCACTGAGCCACACTGGCCAGGCCAATTTTCATCAACTCTATTTTTGGTCTCAAGTTTACAAGATATTAACAAAATCTCCATGCTTTAGAGTGCTACTTGTAGAAATTCATGTTAAATTAGATTTCATAGGGTTTATTTGCTATTTTTCTCCTGCCACATCACATATTTTAAACCAGTAGAGAATTTGGGTTTGGGTTCTAGGATCAGCTAAAGTGTTAGCCTTGGGAGGTGTTAGCCTTGGGAGGGGGGAACAGTTGAGGTGGTGGTGGAATCAGGAAGCTACTATTTTATAGAAAATTAATCTTTGTACATCTAATTCTGGTCACTGTTCCTGAGATTGATTCTTTTCCCTGGACTATGAAATAAAGTTCTAATGAAATAAAGTTCTAATGAAAAGTTTTATTCTTTGGAGATTTGAAAATTGCCTCACACAAGTCCTTTTCTTTCCAGGCTCTAAATTATCTTGGTATTCAGCCCACAAAGGAGCAACACCAAGCCCTGAGACAGCAAGTGGCAGTAGACCCACAGGGGACAGTGTCTTTTGGAGGTAATATTAGGTACATTGTGTTAATCCAGCAATTTTCAACCGTTGTGCCGAAACATTTTTGAAAACATGCAATACCTGACTATGTAGTCATGGGCCTGACCTCTTTTCTCTTAGATTGTCAAATTAAAAAATGACAACAGCCAACATAGTAGCCGATGGTATGAATGAATCAAAATTATACCTATTTTTTTTGTCAGATCGCCAAGAAATATATTTTTTGGAGTGCCACAGGATTGTAATAGTTACTTTATTTGTGCCATGAGATGAAAAGGGTTGAAAATCACTGTAATATCATCACAGAAAATTACTTAAAGGGTCATTGTGACTCATTTTTATTGAGTTCCTCTTTAGAAAGAGAGAGAAAAAAAGACCACATTTATTTCAAATTCCTCGATCAGTACTCTGAAAAACTCAGCTAGAATTCCTAGTCGCCAGTATCAGATAAATAGAAAAAGAAAAGGAATTCCGAAAAAGGGAAATATTACAAGAGTGGAAGAAAACTTCAGATAAACCATAATTAGCATGTTTAAAAAGATAAGCAAAGATAAAGAATTCATGAAATAAGAGTAGGATACTGTCAAATAGGAACAATCGGAGAACATTAAAAGAATCCTTGGAGCCGAGGCCGGTTTGGCTCAGTGGATAGAGCGTTGGCCTGCGGACTGAAAGGTCCCAGGTTCGATTCCGGTCAAGGGCATGTACCTGGGTTGCGGGCACACCCCCAGTGGGAGATGTGCAGGAGGCAGCTGATCGATGTTTCTCATCGATGTTTCTAACTCTCTATCTCTCTCCCTTCCTCTCTGTAAAAAATCAATAAAATATATTTTTTTTTAAAAAAAAAGAATCCTTGGAAACTAAAAACGTCGTAGTCAAAATAAAGACCTGTGAGGGTAGGCAGATGAATAGGTCACGCTCCACGTCTAAAGAAGCATCAGGCAGTGCTGGGTAATGATCAGGAGGATGTGCCTCTGAGTCAGACCTTAGATGGAATCCTGTTCTGCTACTTATTTGTCAAGTGGCCTCGGGGATTTTAGCAGTTCACTTGTCATAGCCCCAGACTGGAAAATTGAGAGGATAAGAGAACCTGCCTTGTAAAATTCTGAGGGTGAAATTGCAAAGCACCCGGCCTAGCATAGAGAGGCTTTACGTAAACATTAGCTGCCGATAGTATTATTATTAAACCTCGGGTTCTTCCAGCTTGAAAAACTGTGAATCATGACATTGTCCTGTTTCAGAAAAGGTTCTACTCATAATTTAAGGGTTGGAGGAATAGTTATGCCAGTGATATACATTTGCTTTGTAATTATCTTAACTGATGTACTAACTTCAGCAAACTTAAGGGAAGTTAAAACCAGTTTCTTTTTATTTGAACTTATATTTATCTGTCCCTTCAGTTAATACTGTTTTAAGGCAACTTTGTTATAACACATAGCTTCAACTTCCTATATGAGCTATATTTAGATGAGGCTTAATAGTTTCTTACTGAAACGTGTTCCATTTTAGATTTTGTCCAGGTTGCCCGAAACTTGTTTTGCTTGCAGTTGGATGAAGTAAATGTTGGTGCGCGTGAAATGTCCAGCATATTAGACTCACAGGTAGAGTATTCCCTACAGAACTGTCTTGACTGTCTTGTCCTCAATGTTACGGGTCATGTTTGTGGGCTTTTTTTCATTTTCATTGTGTTTTTTGTTGTTGTTGTTTTTAAACATATTAGTATTTGTATCGATTTCAGAGAGGAAGGAGAGGGAGAGAAAGATAGAAACATCAATGATGAGAGAGAATCATTGATTGGCTACCTCTTGCATGCTCCATACTGGGGATCGAGCCCACAACCTGGGCATGTGCCCTTGACAGGAATCTAACCCAGGACCCTTCAGTCCGCAGGCCGACGCTCTATTCACCGTGTCAAACCAGCTAGAGCTTCACTGTTTTTTTCTAAGTTGTACAAATAATACATGCTTCTTGGATAAATTTACAAAATATACATTAATTTAAAATCAAAAATAACATTTTGTCTTGATCTCCTCCATTGTTTTCTTTCTGCCAGACAGTCCTCAAAGCTACAGAACCCACATTTGCTGAGAAAAGGCACGTACATGAAGTGGGGAATTCAGAGTACTTCGTGTGAGCATGCAAAGCTTTCCTAGCAGCTGCAAAGAAATAGTCATGCTCCAAATTAGTAATTTACTTCCTTCTTACCAATATGATTTTAGGGCAGATAAGCATGTATTCAGTCTGTGATACCTTGACAGCAAAAGCAAAGTGCTCATGGTAGTTGTGCAAGGTCTTCTGCAGGCCAGCAATTTACTGTTTGTAGCTTCAGATCAAAGGTTGGACAATAGTCATTGTATTAATTTATAAGATTTCTAAAAAAAAAAAAAAGATTTCCTTTGTTGTATTGTACTTTTCAGCACATGGAAGATATCCCCATTAAATGTTGGTTTTTCAGTTTTTTTCCTCAGATATCCACAAAAAGAATGCATTTTACTTCACTACAGTCACATGTAAACTTGAAACAAACGTCTCAAAGCATCACTTACCTTTTCTACATCAAGGCATTCTTATTTAATATTCAGTTCCATTTGATTAAATTTTTGGTCTTACAATTCACTAATGAGTTTGTGCCACAATTTGGAAAATACTATAAAAATCCTTTGGGCAGCATGGATGGACCTGGAAAATATTATACTAAGTGAAATAAGCCAATACGAGAAAGACAAATACCACAGGATCTCGCTTATTTGTGGAATCTAATGGACAAAATGAATTGACCAATAATAAGACCCAAAGCATGGAGGCATGGAATAGACTGATATAGCTCATTGTGTGTGGTGGGGGAGGGAGGCGTGGGGGAGGGGGAGGGAGGGGGAGAGACAAGGAGAGATAAACCAAAGAACTTATACATTTATATGCATAGCCCATGGACATGGGCAATAGGGTAGTGAAGATCTGGGGGGTGGCCAGGGGCCGGGAGGAGGGGAACAAAGGTGGGGGGAGGAATGGGAGATATCTGTAATACTATCAACAATAAAAAAGATTTTTAAAAAAATACTATAAAAATCATTGCTTGTCAAGCAACTCAGCAGAAACAAATAAAAACTATTTCATTATTTTGTAGTATATTGTTTTTTGAGTTAAACAACAGTAGAATACCTTGTCTGAAGTTTATCAATTGATCTGTGGTTAGGATGCTGACAGTCTGTAAAGGTGGGGAAATTCCACTATGGTTACCCCCTCAGTTATTTTGTCACACACACATACAAAAAAATCAGATTTTATGATCCATCTGTTAGGGACACTTTTTGCTTTCTTTACTCGCATGTGTCCATTTTTGGGTTTGTCTTTTTCTTGATTTATTTCTTTAAAATATTTTTACTGGTGCATAATGGACACACAGTAAAGTACAAAACTCTCAATTGTACAACTTGATGAATTTCTGTTCGTGTCTTATGTGTAATCACCACTCAAAAGGCTCCTTCGTGCGAACTTTCCAGTCCACCGTGGCTCCCACTTTCACAATTGAGCAAACCACTCGTTTGATTTTTATCAGTATAGATTACTTTCGCCTATTCTTGAACTTCATGAGTAGAATCATGCAATGTGTATTCTTTTGGAACTAGCTTCTTTTGCTTATCATTTTGTCTGACTCAAAAGATTTCTTGAGATACTGTCTTTTAGGAAGGAAGAATTGCTGAGTCATTATAAGTCAGTCCTACTTTTGTTTAGTTGACAAAAAACATTGGGTTTGAGAATAATATGGCATTTAAAACCAAAAATATAATTATCTTACTGTTGTTCTAATTATCATTGGTATATAAAAAATTTACATATTGCTACACCTGCTGCTGGTCCAGAGTTACACACAGAAAAGGGAAGTTTGGAACATCCTAGCTCCCTTTAATGGGTTTACCACATTCATTAAGTACCATAGACAGATTATCTTAAAATCACAGAGAGAATGTGCTAAATTCCCTAATGTAGAAGTTTCAAAATTTAGCTTCTTCCTAAATCAGTTTAGTGGATTGCAACCACCATTTCAACAAGTGAAATAGAATAGAGTGGAAAATACCAAGGTGAACTGTATGTGATACTGGCTCATGATATAAATGATATTCTCACTATATGTAGCAGTAAATACTTCATAGCCACTTCACTACACTCATCTGTAAAATAGTAAATATGTGTTGAACAAGTACAATGTGCATGGCATTGTGTTAGGTGTTTTGGTGCATGTTATTAAAATAAATAAGACTCTAACCACTATGTTGTACACATGAAACTAATACAAAATAATATTGAATGTAAACTATAATTGGAAGGAAAAAAGACAAGTAAAACTCCAGCCTATCCCTCAAGAAATTAAGGTATAGTGTAAGGAAATTTATGTACACAAATAATTATTGTTTAAAAATGCATTGTGCCCTAGCCAGTTTGGAGCAGTGGATAAAGCGTTGGCCTGTGGACTGAAGGGTCCAGGTTTGATTCTGGTCAAGGGCATGTACCTTGGTTGCAGGCTCAATCCCCAGCCCTCATCAGGGGGCATATAGGAGGCAACCAATCCATGTGTCTCTCTCACATTGATGTTTCTTTCTCTGTCTCTCCCTTCTGCTTTCTCTAAAAAAATTAATGGAAAAGTATCCTCTGGTGAGGATAAATAATAAAAATAAAAAATGCATTGTGTGAGCCCTGACCAGTGTGGCTCAGTTGGTGAGTGTAGTCCCATGCACCAAAAGGGCACTGGTTCGATTCCAGGTCACGGCACATGCCCAGGTTTTGGGTTTGATCCCAGTAGGGGGCATGCAGGAGGCAGCCAATCCATGTTTCTCTCTTACGTTGATTTTTTTTCTCTCTAAAAAAATCAATTAGAAAAACATTTTAAAAATGCTTTATGTGATAAGGCCATAATAATAAAAGAGCTTCGAACATTCAGAGAAGATTCATGACAGAGTTGGCATTTGAGTGAGTTTTGAATGATAAATAGGATTTTATCTGCTCAAGAGGTAAACAGAGAAGTGTAGAGTACCTGCATGAACAACAACAAATATATATGTATAATGTGATGGTAAGCAGAGAATGATCTACTTTGTAAAAAGACAATCTAGTACATGCAGGACAGTAAAGGAAGTTAGGCCTGAAAGGGTAAATATGAAATTAGAAGTGTGCACTTTACTAACAGTCAGGAACCATTAGGGAGAACAGAGACATCACCAAAGTAATATTTTAGAAATAATGATCTTATAATCGTGTTGGTTATCTCAGAAGAGGCTGAAACTGGTGGTAGATAGTCTAGGTAGGGGACAAAGAAGAGTCCAAATATAGAATAATAAATAAATAGAGGAGGCGGGTGTAGTATGGTCAGATAACTTGAGGAAATGCAACCATTTATTAAATTATATTTCCTTTTGGGATGTTCAAAATGCTCATTAGCATATAAAGGCTATTGGAACATGGCAGGAAAGTTAATTTTTCCAAGTCTTATATTTCTCTAAGATTGTCCTTGTTTTCTACCTTGCAATTATCTGTAAGAGAGATTGTCAGCTTTGCTATTTTTTGTTGTTGTTATTCACTTGTGCATGAATTATTAATATTATCTTCAATACACAGTTTCTGTGCAGAAATCTTTTTAAGCCACTTGACTGTTATGTTACATTGTGTTTAATTAAAGCAAGACACAAGCTCAATTAATGTACTTTACTGGGTTTAGATAAACAATCTTGGTTTATAATGCCCAGTATCTTGTTAGCCTTGGAGACTATGTGCTTGGTTGGAGTGGATGTCTTTAGGGAATAGTTTATGTTGATAGCTCATGAAGTTGTTTTAATATTGTAAACACACTCTTGAGCCCTAACTGGTTTGGCTCAGTGGATAGAGCGTCGGCCTGCAGACTGAAGGGTCCCAGGTTCCATTCCAGTCAAGGGCATGTACCTTGGTTGCCGGCACATCCCCAGTAGGGGGTGTGCAGGAGGCAGCTGATCGATGTTTCTACTCTCTATTCCTCTCCCTTCCTCTCTGTAAAAAATCAATAAAATATATTTAAAAAAAATAAACACACTCTTGGAATTTGGACTTTTAAGGAAAATTGTATCGTTCAATAAGAATCATAAAGATGACAACAGAGTGTGTATATCTGATCATCATCTAAATTCTGTTATAACAACAACATAAGATTAAGTATAAATGGGTGAAGTTACCCCAGATTACGTTAACATTCTCTTTTACCCGATCAAATGACTCCTAAGCCTTGTCAAAAAGGATTTCTGTGTTAGTTCTCATAATCAGCATGTAACGTATAATTTTCTCTTGTATTTTAATGTTGACAGTTTATTGCCTGTGATTCCTTAGAAGCAGATGATGTGGAAAGGCTTAAACGTGAAAGAAATGATGCCTTAGAAGAAGTGAATGCACTTAAGGTAATCTCCAATTTAGCTTTCTTATATTTTCTCTAGAAAAAAAGAAAAAGGAAATTATCTTGTGTTGAATTCTGAAGTATTGGGGCTTAGTTTTATTTTTAATTAATGAATGTTAATATGAAATAGCTTAATATCAATTTTGGTCAGTATTGAATATTAATGTCATAATTGCTATTTATTTCTTCAGTTGATCTTTAGAGAGTTAATTTTTTAGTTCACACACACTTTTCATTTATATGTAAGATTCAGTGTGAACAGTGGTTTTTACTTGTAACTTTTGATTTGGCTACTTCTCACCCTTTTTATTTTTTCTCACATTGGTGGCAAGGATGAGGAGCCCACAAAGCATGCCATGACAATTTTGGGTCCTCAGATGTTCATTGGGAAATACATTTTCTCCCCTGTTCCTAGGCATGCCTCTGGGACACCTTGATATGCTAACATAATTTGGAATAAAGGCAATATGATTTGAGGAAAGAAAAACCATAAAATATATCCCAAATATACATTAAGATTTTGATTCTCTTTATATGTTTTCATTCTGTGTTTAGTAGAATATTAAGTTTCAATTATATCCTTATTTTTATAGAAAGCCATTTATGTTTTTAAATCTTCAAGAAAAGCAACATAACTCCTTGATTTACTATTAAGTCAACATAACTCTATATTTTAATATTATTTTAAAGTATTGCCTTAAAGAAGTGAAACTCTATTATTTATTTAATTTTTATTAAAGCAAAATCATTAAACTCATAAAAAGAAATTCCCTTGCTACCTTAATTTCTAAATTTCAATCTCTAGAGGAAGCCATTGTTAAACATTTCTTGTTTATCCTTTTGTAGACTTCCTCTAGATAGCCATTTGTATTTCTAAAAAATGAATGTATGTTCAGGTATCCCCAAAAAGTATACACACTTTGAATACTAATAATTATTAATTCCAATGGGTTAAATCTGAAAAGAAGGGACTATCAATTGAGCTGTCAAAAAGGTATATGTATACATTTTGGGGAATGCCCTATATAAAAATATATTAACTATACATAAAATATATAAATATATGTTATATAAGTATATTAATATATTTTTAACTTTTACAAAATCATTTAACACAAGGTACACTCTTTTACAACTTGCCTGCTTTATTCTCTTTGTCAACATGTGTTGGGCTATTTTTCTAGTTAATATACTAGTACACAGATATGCCAAATTCTTTTTAATGGCTCTCCTATCATCACATGGTTCTGTCTTATGTTATTTAGCCAGTTTCTTAATGATGAATAGTTAGGCTATTTTAAGTTTTCCATTATTAAAATTAATTCCATCATAAATCGCATTATAGATATATCTTTGCATGATTGTGCAGTTGTAAAAGTACAAATGGAATAAATTACTGAAAGTGAAATTGTTTTCTCAAGGGATACAGACATATTAAAATTTTATGTGTGTTACCAAATTCTCTATCAAAAGACTTTAGCAATTCATGTTTCTTCCAAATGTATGTGAGCATTACTAAAGAAGTATTTTCTATACTTTTTTTATTATAACTTAAAACCATTGTCTTTCCACATTTTCTGGTATAAATTTAGTTTTAAAAATACATTTTGTTTTAAAAATAGATTGACAATAGTTCTTTTACATCCTTGAGGAAAATATCTCCACTATTGGTTACCTTGGTAAAATAACATTTTTATAAAGTTTGTCTCTGCATAAACCATTAAATTTATGGTTCATCAGAATTTCCAGAGGCTCTCAGATCTTCTTCATTCCCTTAATGTTTATCATTGCTAAATTTAGTGATACATTCAGTGACTATCAACCTTATTATTAGAATTGAATTTAAAACTATACTTATGTAACATTTAAACAAGCTCCACTGAGGAGCTGTTCAATAAATCGGAATTCATATTTAAGCTTTATGAAATATAACTGAACATATCCTAGTGTGAAATTTCCTTTACCTCAAAACCTATCTATTGGCTGAGAACCACTTGTTTAGCTATATAAAAAGAGTATATTAGGCAATAAATATTTTTATTTGCGATAAAATATTGTTTGTACTTAGTTATTCTACTTAAATTATACACACACAAAGAAATAGACATTGTTAAATGAAGTTCATAGAGTGTGTGAGTAGTCTCTCATTGCTTCTCATTATCCTGTGACATCTCTGATCTTTATGTCTGATTTAAGGTACAAACAAAAATGAAACCAAGATAATTTGATGCTAATGTCTAATTTTATTTTGTGAGAATGATTTTTTTATATATTTTTAATTGATTTTTTACAGAGAGGAAGGGAGAGGGACAGAGAGTCAGAAACATCGATGAGAGAGAAACATCGATCAGCTGCCTCCTGCACACTCCCCACTGGGTATGTGCCTGCAACCAAGGTACATGCCCTTGACCGGAATCGAACCTGGGACCCCTGAGTCCGCAGGCCGACACTCTATTCACTGAGCCAAACCGGTCAGGGCGTGAGAATGATTTTTTAAAGTGCTATGGCTTAATTTAACTTAAAGCCTTTCTGCAGAGTTCACATTGGTACTGCTTTGCAAAGCTGAATGGAAATAGCTATATTTTCCATTTACAGATGCAAAAAGCTAGGACAGAAAGAGTGAAGGTGACTTGCCAGAGCATAAAGGCATGGCAGCCAGCAGTCTCCTGGCTCCTGGTCTGTGGCAGATGCATAAGATTGCTACAGTATATTCATCTCCATATACCTTCACTTTATCTCTTAGACGAGGATGAGCTGAAATACTCCACCAAGCAGATCATTTCTTACAGACATTGCAGTGTTGCCATGAGTATTTACTACTCAGTTTAATCTCCAAGCAATTCCTCTTCAAGTTTATAGTAAAATGGTTCCTAAATTATTCTTAGTATATCTGATTTGATCAATAAAATGTGAACTTATTTATGCTATACTTAAAAGTCAACATTTTAAGGTATATGCTCAATTTTAAGTTCAAAGATGATAATATTTGGTTGGCATGCATAATATTCTGTTTTAAGAACTACCATTTCAGCCGAAACCGGTTTGGCTCAGTGGATAGAGCGTCGGCCTGCGGACTGAAAGGTCCCAGGTTCGATTCCGGTCAAGGGCATGTACGTTGGTTGCGGGCACATCCCCAGTAGGAGATGTGCAGGAGGCAGCTGGTCGATGTTTCTCTCTCATCGATGTTTCTAACTCTCTATCCCTCTCCCTTTCTCTCTGTAAAAAATCAATAAAATATATTAAAAAATAAATAAATAAATAAAAAATCATTTAAAAAAAAAAAAAAAAAGAACTACCATTTCATATTTTGGTTACACCAGTCGTATCTTAATTTTTATGGATGATTTCCAAGAATAAGCTAAATTAGAAAAATGATATTCAACTCAGTTTCATGTCCTCTTTAATATAGTAAGAGAGACTTCTGAATTATAATAATGCTCTTCAATTTGGAAGCACTTTGACAATGATAGTTATTACCCAAAATTTAGTTAATATTTATATATTTTGAACTTGACTGACTTTGGACCTCAGATTCTGAGACTTTACAAAATGGCTAAAGAGAAAATACATTTTCATCACAATTCTGCTGTAAATAACTAATTACTTTCATATGGTATTTATAATAATAAAAGGGTAATATGCTAATTAGACTGGATGTCCTTCCAGATGATGCTGGGTCGAAGGGAAGCCCGGGTCCCGGGTGCCAGAGGGAAGCTGGTGCCGGCCGCCAGGGGAAGGAAGGCCTACTCTTGCATGAATTTCATGCATTGGTTCTCTAGTATATGTGTGTGTGTGTGTGTGTGTGTGTGTGTGTGTGTGTGTAGCCAGAAAAGTAATGGAATTACATTTTCAGATTGTAGCAGTGGCTGTTTGGGGAATTTTTAAATTTTAAAACAAAGCTCTAAGAATGATACCCATGCATATATTTATAACAAATTATTAATTTAGTGGTTTTTAAATATAGGAAAAATTATTTGAATCAGAAAGACAAAGGAAACAATTGACAGAAGAACTCCAAAATGTGAAACAAGTAAGTGCATGTATTGTCTATATGTGTTTTGTGTGTGTGTGTAAACATATGAGGTATAGTTGTAAAGCAATGATGCTGTATAACATCCTAGAATTGATGGATGTGAGCAACAGAGACTGTACCTGTCCTGAAGGACTGTTACTACTGCTCAAAAAAATGATAAAATTTCTCTCAAATTACTTTCAAAACCAGATATCCATGGGCTGAAATGATCATTCTCATTGCTTTTCCATTCTTTTCTTTCTCTTATATTTTTCCCTTTTCATCTGTTACTCATACCTCATATTATTAAAGATAAAAAGAGACAAGCAATAAATTAAATAACCCTGCAAGACAGAGCATTTATTACATTTATTTTTTTAGTAATAAAAGGTAAAAATTTAGGCCCTGACCGGGTAGCTTAGTTGGTTAGAGCATTATTCCGATACACCAAGGTTTTAGGTTCGATCCCTGGTCAGGGCTCATACAAGAAGTAACCAATGAATGCACAAATAAGTGGAACAACAAATCAGTGTTTCTCTCTCTCTCAAATCAATCAATAAAATCTTTTTTAAAAAGTAAAAATTTATTTTCACTTTGCATCATTCTTCAAAGAATTTTAGGAAGCTTACAACAAAACAGATACAATGACATTATCATAAAACAGATATACAGATAACAAACAAGTAAAATAATCAGAGTAGAAATTTAAGAGAACATTGGTAGAGATCAGTGGCATCACCTGGCTTTGAATCTCCCCAACATCATCCCCCTGGAAAACATAAAGCCACTAGTGTAAATAAAATCAGACAGGCCCCATACCTTCAATAGGACTGTGTGACAGAGAGCACCACAGCCTGCAGGCACATATAAAAATGTGCTTTAAACAACCAGACAAAGCTTTGCAGCTCGCTGGCCACTGGAACCTGGAACTCAAAGAGCAGAGCAGGTGGGGCTTCAGATGCTAGAAAAGAGCTGGAAAACAGAGCAAAAACTCAAAGTACAAATAGTCACCCTTAGAAAGAGAAAACGGAGCAATCGACGCCAAAATCCTGAGCTAGGCCACGACTCCGTGGTTCTCAGGACTCGAGAAAGTGTGTGCAACCTGAAGTGTCAGCCTCACGAGTCTTGGCTTCTCAGGGAGAATCATAAGCAGAGAAGGGGTGGTACCCCTGGGAGATGAGGAAAGGAAGAGAGAGGAGGACATCAGATACCCCTCTCCAGTACTGTGTGAACTTGAATCAAGAGGGGAAAGAAGGACTGGAAACACAGAAAGTAAATAGATTCTTTTAAAAACGTGTGTGTGTGTGTGTGTGTGTGTGTGTGTGTGTGTGTGTGAGAGAGAGAGAGAGAGAGAGAGAGAGAGAGAGAGAGAGAGAGAGAGAGAAATTCTCCAGAGATCTCTCTTCTCAACAATGTCATCAGTTTGACTCAAATAGACTTTTATGAAAATTAAAAAAGAAGGGGCATATATAAGGGGGAGAAATAAGGATCTGGCATAAATGAAGAAAAATAAGACTTGTCAGACCTCCTCCATCAACCCGCTCCACAACCATCCACAACATGATCCATAGAGGAAATTGCACAGAAGAGGGTGCTGTTGAACCGGGAACTCTTTCTATGCAAGAAGTGGACTAGGGAAATAAATCTCCCCCAAGATTCCAAAACAATGGTAAAAATCAGGCAATATGAAGGAAAGCATTCCTCAGACCATTAATTAAATGTGTTCCTCTTCAGAACATTCCAAGCACAAGGCTAACCAAAACTGTACTACAGCACTCCAGACTCAAGTATCCTCAAGCAAGCATTTGGCATTAAGAATCAGAAATTTAAAAACTAAGACTAGAAATTGAACAAAACAAAAACAACCCTCGAAGAAATGAAATGAGAGTTGATAAAACTTAGGAAAGAAAAAAAATTAGGAAAACTCAAAATCATATTAGAAAAGAAAACTAAATTACAAGTTGCCCTAGGAAGAATGTACTAGTATTCAAATGAAAAGGCATGGAGGAAAACTAGAAAAATAACCAGGGAAATTAGAATGAAATAAATAAAAGAGTTTCTTGAATCTATAAAAGCAACTGGACAGCATTACTATTTAGAACTATAATCCAAGAAAACTTTCCAGACATAAAGGATGGCCTGAATGTTATTGGGTATTGGGGCCTGGAAAGATCAGCTCTAGAACATTAAGTAAAACTCTGAGACTTTCAAAAAAAGTGCCTCCAAGTGAAAAGATCAAATAGCTTACAAAGGCCAGCATCAACCTCAACAGAACATGTAAAGCAGTAACAGAGCAACGTTTTCAAGAAACTAAAGGAAAGAAAGTATAAACCAAAATATAGTACATGGGCAAGCTGACACTCAGATGTCAAGGCTATAGAATCACGGTTTGTATAGTACACATACATGCTTTCGCAGGGGGATTTAAGCCAACCTTTGGCAACCAATCCCCAAGCTACGTAAGTGGCTGCAGACTATATAATAATCACCCCAGTATTTGTGTTCAATGTTTGACAGGCTAGGATTGAGTTGGAAAAGAATTGCAAACAAATCTTGAGCTATTTTAAGGATGTTTGTTTTAGGAGTATGGTCAAAACAGTTCTGAAACAATTTTAAGATGTATTATAGGTTTCAGAACATGGGTTGATCGTTGTTGAAGTCCAGAATCTCAATGAAAAAGCAAAGACATAGAAAATAGAATGAGGGAGGTCAAGAAAGAATTTTGTGGAATGGACTAGAATTGGAGGTGTTGTGAGTGCATCGTTTCTAAAATATATGTATATGTGCATATATGAATGTATATGTGCACATGAATATATGTGTGTATGTAGATAATATTTGTGTGTAGGGTGTGTGTGTGTGTGTGTGTGTGTGTGTGTGTGTGTTCATAGCTCGGTCAACTAAGGAGCCAAGAAGCAAATATCCCAATAGCATAACCAAGTGCCCAGATTCCAGTCCCCACTAAAAGGAACCCTTGGAGAAATGACTGATTTCAGGTCTGGGGGAGGGTAAGTACAAGATGAGCCTGGAATATGTTATACCAGAAAATAAGGAAGTGTTCACGATGCAGGGAGCATTTCACAAGGAACCAGCTTGGAGGGGCTCCCATTGGCCAAATCTGGAAGTACTTGAGACCAAGATAATTAAGTACAGTAATGAATTACAAACCATCAAAAAAGAAGTAATTCAGGAGTCCATACAATTTTAATTGGAGGAAAGGAGGGCTCTTTGCTTGTTATAGTAGGTTGAGTGCCAGCCGGTAACTGCGGAGTGGCTGTTAGATTTGGGAAATCGGCATTCTGCATCTGTTTTAGTAAAAACTTGGATCAGACTAGAATCATCAGATACTAAATCAAGGGAGGAATTTTGATGAAGAGCAGAATATTTACATATTAACGGTTTTAATGTTGCTCTCTAGAAATTGCTTATTAATTGTAAGCAGAAAATAGTAACTACACAGTAGTTAAATCAGACAACTCCATCACGTGTTAAAATTTAATATCAGATGGGCATGCGTGACTTTTTTTTTAATTTTCATCTTTTGTTTCTTCATTTAAAAGCAAAAATGGAACATATTTATTTTTAATGTTAATTCATTTGTGTGTGTTTTTTGGTTTTGTTTCTTTATTGTTGAACATATTACATAGTTCCTCCTTTTCCCCCCATTAACCTCCTCCAACCCGCTCCAGTCCTCCCCGCTATTCCAGCCCCTCACCACTCCATTGTCCTGTCCACTGGTTATGCATATATGCATACAAATTCATTGCGACAAGTGTTGGCAATGTTGTGGAGAAAAGGGAACCCTAGTGCGGGTGTTACTTCTAATGTGACACCTTGAGAAGGACAAAACAGCACCTTGTAGCATTATGGCTGAGAATGTATGACCTGGACCTGGCTAGGAGGAAATGCCAGACAAACCTAAAAGGAGGGACAGTTTTATTTTTGTAAAGGGGTGTGTGTGTGTGTGTGTGTGTGTGTGTGTGTGTGTAGCTATATTCTTCAGAAATGCCAATGCTATAAAAAAATAGAAGAAAGGTGTTAAGAGGCTAGGTTCCAGGTTAAAAGAGGCTAAACATCTCTGAACACTAAATACAATCCTGACCCTAGACTGGATCCTGCACTGGAATGGGGGAAATGCTGTAAAGGATACAATTGCATCAACAAACAAAATTGGAATGCAGTGGATCAATGTCAAATTTCTTAAATTTGGTAATTATAGTGTGGTATGTAAGAGAATATCCTGCTGTACTGAAGTGTTTAGGGGTAAAGAGACATGGTGTCTGTAACACCTTCAAATGGTTAAGAAAAAAATTAGGTGTGTGTATTTATTTATGTGTATTATCTATACAGTACACACATGTACCTGTGTGTGCCTATGCTTGTGTATATATGAACAAACACTGCAGAATTTTGCCACTTTGCACCACTTCCATCCCCGGTCCAGCCATCACAGCTCCTGCCTGGGTTGCAGTTACCGCTGCCCACCAGATCACCCTGCTTTTACCCTGCCCGCCCCACACAGGCTAATCAGATCCCAGCGGCTAGAAACATCCTTTTAAAACGGAAGTAGAACTCTCCAGGACTTTCCATCTCACTCAGAGTGAAAGCCAGAATCCTGCAAGTAAATGACAAGGCCTCCAAGAGCCTCCTCAATCTGCCATCTTAGCCCCATCCCCACCCTCCTCTAATGGCAGTTACTTCATCGCTCACCACCCCTCCCCCTTCTCTCCCTACTAATTCTCCAGCGCCTCTGACCTCACCGCACCATCACCCCACTAGCCCTCCAACTCTCACCGTGTATGGAGAAGTTTGTTGGCATTACTGATTGCTCTCTTACGTATTATAAACTTGTTACGTTACTGCTAATGAAAGAGTTCCGATGCTTTAGTGAGAATAACTACCTCTCCATTTTTTTCAAGGATTAATATACTTTTTCACAATGAGCAAAAGAGTCTTTAAAAATTACAATTAGAGCCCTAGCCGGTTTGGTTCAGTGGATGGAGCATCGACCTGCGGAC